TACCAAACTATTTGGGTCGTCCTCATAGTTTAATATTCAGGGTTCAGTACTATGAAAAGGGGTGGGGCCGGTGACTCGGTTGCCTGCGTGTCAGCATTCAACAGAAGATCTCTATTTCCTATCACTTTCCAGTCCTCTTGCATAAGGTAACAGGTGGTTGTGATATGCGGCTCGATATTAATACTTTAACTGGCATAGCACTGCCTAAACATTTAATAAACGCATTAAACGTTCCTTGTGTTTATAGTTCGGTGGTGTTTGTTGTGTGTACCACCTCTCGCTCTCTTTCACAAACATACTCCCCTAGACATGCATAGTTTTACACCCAGAGTCCTCTGGGCATCATCACATGGGGGTATTTTTGACGCCCCGGCTCACTTGGCCTTTGGATGAAGGTTGTCTGTAGAGCAGGAAGTGGACTCAAGTCCAGAATGCGTCAGGAATCAGAACACATGCTTCCACGTGTCTGTGTGCTCGGTTTCGACTTTCACTTTGGGGCTTTAAGGATCTCCACACCCAGTATACAGTCTACCAAAGTGTCCACTCATCCTACTTCTGGCTACACAGGCACAGCTTTTGACACGTTATCTGCTTCTTGCGACTGCCGCTTGCCGCGACTCTGTGGTGATGTATTTTTAGCCGAGTTTTTGCCTTCCATTATTGTAGCCACGGGATGTTGGTCCAAAGAATTATGATGAAGTTATTACTAACCAGCATTATATAATGTTGGTTTAAAATCTTATATAATAAAGTATTGGAATGCAATTCTTAGCTCTGCTAGTAAAAAAACTCTCACTCTCACTTGGGTAGCACCCTTAAAAGGACAAGTTTGTACCTTATCCACAAGTTTCCGAGGGGCGCTCCTGTAAAAAATAAAGTGGGTGAAACTTCCGGTGACGCGGCGGAAGTAGCATTCCAATGGTATTTTGTGTGTTAGTTAGCGAAGAGGCTAGCTGTTTTTCGGAGAATTATTTTACTATTTAAAGACGCCAATCTTTATGAGAGATGTCGTTACGGAGCTCAGGGACAACATGTGCTGTTCGCGGTTGTATGTATAGCCGGACTAAACTAATTTAGTGGCTTAAACGTGATTGTTTTGAACATAAGCTGAAAACGAAATCAGAGTGATCCTGCCAACGACTGTAACGTTAGTTTCCATCACCTCCCAAAAGACGACGAATTTTCCTGTGTACATTTGTTTAAATTCTTAATGTTCTATAAACTCTATCAGCATGTGATTGGCTGTTCTCTACTGATGTTACAGCTAAACTCAGGATCAAAGCCTGTGTTGACAGAATACCAAATGTGCCAGTTAATGTATTCAAGCAGCACATTCATTTATAATTTTGAATAAACACCAAAGCACAATGACTAAGTGTGTATTTTTTATTTTCATTGTTTGTCAGCTCGCACAACTGTCTGTCACCATGCCTTGATGAGTATTGATTATTAATAATGTTGCGGAGGGTAAAGGTGCTGTTATTTCACCCTTTTGAATTTCGTTGAGGTTGTGTTCCCACATCGTCAGCTAGTTTGGATCACTATAACTTGAATGACTGTCAACTGTTGAATGAACGAGTGTCAAACATGTCAAATCGCGCTTTGTTTACTTCCAACCGGAAGTCGCGCCCACTTTTGACGCAAGGCCTCATGGGGCGTAGGAAACTTGTGGATATACCCCTAAACTAAATGTGAATTTATCACCTACGAGTACTAGTAATATGTCCACTTAAGATACTACTGTAAACCTTTTAGGGTGCAATGGGTACTCTCCCAGTGAAAAGCTGTTGTACTCCTAAAGGTTAAATAAAATGGTGAAGAGCTATTGCTTTTGAGATTCTGTAACTTTGAGACTGATTGTAGGTTGTTTTTCAATCAGGACCTGGTTTGAGGGGAAAGAAAGGTCGCGATGGGGCTTCAGGTAGGTCTTTGGTAATCATATGCCTGTGCCTGCAACTCCATGGATTGCTGTTTTGTATAAGCTGCTACAGTATGTATGTGCTTTTAATAGCAAGAGAAGCATGAAAACAAGCTTAAAGCATTCAGAGATGATAGCTCGGTACAGAATATATTTGAAAATGAATTGAGTCCTAGTGCAAAATGAATAGTATTAATGCAACACTGAAAGGTGTTTCACATCCATCAAAATGAAATTTATTTCACTTGCTGTTTGCAGCTATTCGAGCAAAGAACTGTCCACTTGACATGTAAAGTAAAGTGATCAATCACTGTTCGTTTAACTTTTATTTATCATTTAGATCACAAATTCTCAGCTCTAATTTTCATTTTCGTCCCACAAGTTGCATAAAGCCTGCCAATGAGACGTTTTTGTGTGCAGGACAGTCTGTAGGTGCTCCGTTTGAGTCTGCTACTATACGACCTATAGATTCCTCTATATTTTTGGCTTATGAAGTGGTTTCATGTAAAGGGTCATGGGATCACGTGGGTAAAATGAGAGTGTTTATGATGACAAAGATTGATCTGGAATGTTCAGAGAGCTATTCTTGCGTGACCACACATTTATTGTGTGTTGTTCACTTGTTCTTTGACATTATTCTTGCTCTTAGGTCTAAAATAGGGCTAGCTGTCTCAGCAGCTGCTTTGATAAATGCAGGTTCTGATTTCTAAGAAAATACAGACTTCTCAAAACAGGAAAGGAAAGAATAATGATGGACCCATAGGAAAGCTTCGTCACCAGTGTGACTGCACCATTACTTAAGGCTACCATATTTAATACACCATTCAGACTCACTGTGATCCACAGAGCTCAGTCTAAATGTAGATCTTCCTCTTGTTGAGGAATGCAGTAAACAATTGTTTTAAATTAACTTTCGTTCTCTCTTGCATCCATTATACTTTTTTTCTCTCTAGTCAAATATTCAAACTGTAACTCCCCTAAGTTTCTGGCCACGAAAGAGAGAGGTGTTACCTTTTCAAACTCTTTAGAGGAACAAAAATGAAAATCCTGGAATGAACCTTTATGATTCTGGTCAAATAGTTCAATTGTCCTGTAACAAATTGCTTTGACGGACTGATTTTATTCTTGCAGTTGTCCTGACATGAGAAGTCATAAAAGTTCTGGGAGATATTAAGTTACATAAGCGGAAAAGATTTGTCATCAATTTTGAGTTAGCTCTTCCTCGATAAAGTTTGAAGCTTGAATCATGCTTGAAGCTATGATCTAGTTCTGCTTTGATTGAAGTGTCTTGGTTAAAGGATGTAAAAGAGGCTGTAAATCCTACTAATGCATGTGCTCATAAATTGAGCTTTTATAATACTTAAAGGGGTCATGAACTGTCTTTTTTTAATTTTATTATAATATATTGTATATATCTGAGGTCAACTTATGACGTTCGCTTGGTTTTTGCAATCAAAAACATCAAAATAGGCTATTTTCTACCCTAGTTTTGAGCCTAGCTGAAAAGCGCTCGGTTTTTATGGGCGTGTCGCATTGAAGACTTGGAAGTAAACGCCCACTGCTGTGAGTGGATAACAGTTTTGCATATTATAATGAGTTTCAACTCACTCGTCGGTACACGGTGGGGAAACTGTTTTGAAAACGTCCATTGTTGTAAAATGGCAACCGGAATGATTCACTGTTCACCCTCATACATATTCGACCCAGAGTCCGAGTGTTGCACCATTCCCGTCCGATCCAATATAGACGGCACAGCACCGTTTTTTAATCTTAATCGGTCTCTTGTTTACAAAACAATCCTCAGTAAAAGGAAGCGAACAGACGGACAATGTTTTACCTCATCAGCTGGAACGTCATTAAAAATAAAGTTTATCCATGCAGTCCTATTGGAATTCAGAGGAATCCGATCCGGTTTGTCATCACGAGGTAGGCCAATGTAATTTAGCTATGCGTGTAATGCGTGAATCGGTGGGCGGGGCTAAACCGGCCGTGTTGAAGTAGGCGTTGATCATCTTCTGCGGGGGTGGTGTTTTATCCTCTTTGACGTCATAGTTCCCCACTTTGAAAAACGAGTCGTTTGCTGAGGCTGGTGTCAATAAAAGCTTTTATTGGGCTAACAAGGACTTTTCAGTTCTGAAACTTATAATATGCTGGCCTCTTAGATGTCAAAAGCTCAAGGAAAATTTGATTTCTCAGTTCATCACCCCTTTAAAATATGGCTACCTAACTAATTTTGATCAAGCTGCATCATTGTTTGTTCAAAGCCAAGATGTCCCACTATAAGCCCACATGATGTTATTCACAAAGTTGTACACATCCCTCACCCTTGCGTGTTCGTTTGAAAATAACCTTTGTGAAGCTTATTTTCATTATGCTTTCAGCTACCAATAAGAGTGTAAAATCATAGTTTTAATTAACACATATTTTTCCAGAGGTTTCCACCAGAATCACTGTGTTTTTAACCATTTTTTTTTGACTAACGATGTTAATGAAATCGGTTTCCACTGTTTATTACACCGCTGGTGTATGATTTAGCATTAGTTATGAAGGAGGTGATGTCTGGGTGGGGTTCGCGTGCACAGAACAGGGGTGTGATTTATCTGTGCCGGCAGTCTTCCAGTGATGTGGCGTACGGTATATTCTCCCACTCAGTTCTCAGTGGTCTGTTGTTGGGTGGACAGACTGCTCATCCCTGTTCCAGAGACAACTTTCCCACCGAGAGCTTTTCAATCCTGTCATCTACTAAATTATAAACATATTTTTCAACGCTTTATTTAAATGCTGTGACGCACTAAGTTAACCTACCTGCATGTGAGCTGTAATCTTCCTCAGAGATTGTTTTACGGCTAGAGAAATCTGAGGCGTTGTTCATCAGTTCAGACGGGGCTGAACAGCCAGAACACCCACTTCGGATTGTGGTTGAACTACGGAAATTCAGACTTGCGTGACGTTTTTCTTTTTTGTTTTTTGGGAAATAAAATCAGTGTAAAATGTTTGATGTAATGTGCACATGGTCCAAACGAGATGAGTGTAATTTTTTTTCAGTGTGACTAATCTTTCTTTCTCTCTGTTTTTATTGCAGGTCCTCCTGTAAGTAGACGTTGTCCCTTCATTGACTGGATTGTGGTAATGTGACCCAAACTCTGTGGCTTTGTGTGTGTTTTGAGAGTGAATTTATCTTTCATGTGTTTCCTTATTGTCACTGCTGATGGAGTGCTGCTGATTACACAATTATTTACATAATGGAAACTGTTAGTTACGTTTCCTTCCGCCACACATATAAACTCCCACACTTTCATCCGTAAACATAAGAAGAAGAGCTTATGTTAAAGCTGAAGTGGGCGAGTTTTTGATTTTGAAATACTTCCTTAAATTTCTTTTAGCTGAGATTCTGTGGCTCTATTTAAACATTGCTTTGGTTTTAGGCATCCCAACATGGCAACACTGATTCAAGCAATAAATGTGAAAGTAGGGTAGGGTTATCTGTTTGGGCAACCAATGACATAGAGGTAGTGTTCAGGAGACTTATGTGATGACAATCATTATTTTTTGCAATTTTGTTTGGTGACTTTAGTGCCACAAAAAATACTTCTCCTTTAAATCGAATGCCATTATCTTGGACGTATCAATGCTTTCTTCTGGCTCTTGGACGTTGGGAATTTGGTTAGACACTAATATAGAAGACTACAGCATTGGTAGACACAGTCTGTTCAACTTAATATATCTTTTGAGGGCTAATGTTGCTGAATGAGGTTATAGTGAGAAAGAAGGTCAATATATATAGTAGAGGAGAAAAGAGAGTTAGGCCATGTAAAATTAGGTGCGGTTGGACAGCTGCAGTAAGAGGGAGAAGGTCGAACTTGAGTGATGAAATAACAGCAGCCACAGGCAAACACACCTCACAGAAAAGACAAATTACAAATAAGGTCTCTTTAACTGTTTCTACTAGAGTAAATGAGGAGAAAATTAGACTTCTGCTAAAACCTACTGTTAAAAAGACTCCAGTACTCTCACGTTTGTCCTCTAAAGTTATAGAAGACATCACTGTCAGATTTGCCAAGATGCGTTCGATTCGATTCTCCATAAACTATCCGATAGTTCACCCAAATAAGAATTTTATTTTATACTTTATTTGAAGTCTTCAACTACTTGTAGTAACATTTAAATGAATCATCATATGCAAAAAAATTTTTTTATATACAGTAGAAGTACAATATAAAACCATGTATATTTACAGCTGTTATTAATTTATTGTATTTACATAAATAATTACTCTGTTGACCCATCGTTAACCTATACCCATACCTACAAACCTGTCCCTTACCCGTATCCCACCTCAATATCAGCAAAAGTGTTTTGCAATACAAATTTAACACAGTAATCTAACAACTAATTAGTTAAAGACACCTAATATAAAGTATGACCAGAAACTCTCTGTCATAATTTACTCACTGGTGTAACATATTGAATATTCAGTGATGTTCATTATCATTGAACCTCAAATCTGGCATGACATGTCTTCACGAAAAGACCAAAAAGACTTTTTACAGTGTTTTTATGTGATTGTTGGAGCTGGAATGAGTGTGTCCCCTCTCCCTTTCACTCACTTTTATTTTAGTTTTCGGGGTGAACTGTTCTTTTAAGTCTTCTGAGTAATGAAAGTGAAACTTGTGAGCAATAAACTTTCCCTCTGGGTGAGCTACAGGTTCCAGCACCCCAAAAAACACACATTGGTATACAAACACCTGCTCGTATAACCCATAAATCGAAGTTAAATTCGAAAACAACTGAAAGGCAGGTGAAAGTAACTGTCAAACAATGCACACAGGCTTAAACATTAAGTTGAAATTTCTACTTTTGTCAAGTAAGAATGTTTAGATATAGTTAGTGAATTCTTTTAATCAAGTCAGTCTTCTTTAAACAAGTTTGGTGATCTATTGGCAATCAGTGTCAGTATGTCTTTAACTACGGTGTTTGTTTTCAGTAAAGGGAGTTTGGCAAGCCTGGTTCCTGATCAATGGCCCTATAGAGGGCCATCCTGTTACACTGACCTATGGAAATTCTTAGAAGAGAAGATTATCCAACAAGAACACTAAGACAACACTCTTACTGATGTGATGGCAACTGTAAATTTCACCAAATTGGCCTTTTCCTGTGCGCTGAAAGTGAATACTAAATGTTTAAATACATAATAGTCTCAGGGGTTCTTCACAGGTCACCTCACAGGAGCATAGCCCTTTGCCCGCTTTTGAAGGCACGGCTGGCCCAACCCAGCCTTAAACAATTAGTAGTGACACGAAACATTTTACATTGACAGAAAGCCCCTTCGTTAGTGTGTTGAAAACTTGTGTGGAACGATGCAATGGTCATATCAAGCACATGCTGGACATTAGAGGTGAAACACTTGAAAATATGAGTGGGAATCAGCAGGGACCTTGTGAGCCAGTGTGTAAATTGTGAATTTGCAACCCTTAAAGGGATAGTTCACCCAGAAATATAAATACTGTCATTAATTACTCACCCTCATGTCGTTCCAAACCAATAAGACTTTCAGTTATCTTTGGAACACAAATGGAGATCTTTTTGATGAAATCTGAGAGCTTTCTGTCCCTCCATTGACAGCTACGCAACTACCGATTTGAATCTTCATAAAGAGATCGTAAAACTAATCCAAATTTTGAGACTTTTCCGAATTTTCATTTTTGAGTGAACTGTCCCTTTAACACATTTGTATCTCATTCACCTGTATTGAACTTTATATATGGATATAATATCAGTTTTATTCTTAGGTGAGTCTTGTTTAAAAGAGTCAAGTTTGCATTGACCTCCACAATAATGCATCCAAAATCACATACTCAAGTCTTTTGTATAATTAATTACTCTACGATCATTTTAAAAAGTATGTTAGTATTGTAGTATCCACTAGAATGTAATTCAAACATACTACATTCACTATGTCGACATTGTCATGTGACTTACGGTGTCCGTTGCTTCGCTGCTTTTTACAAATCCTCTCCAGTGGCCTCACAGGTTAGTTACGTGTTCATTAATTGTGCACTTTGTAATCTCGGCGGAAGTAGTACATCTGTGTACTTTTTTAATCTACTACTACTGGAAAAAAAATATTTTCAAGATTTGTTATCACAACATTTTTTCTTTTGTCAAATCAACGTAAATAATTTATTTAGTTCAGATAACTTATTATTTTCAGTTTCTGATGATTAAATCAATCTCCTTCATTGTATTAACTCACTTTTTCCAGTTCAATCAACTTAAAATTTTAAGGCAACCAAGTTACTTAATTTTTTAAGTTAAACCAACAATATTTTTTACGGTGGATTTTTTTACCTGGATTGCAAGTCTCTTCAAAAATAATATCAAAACTAAATATATAAATTCAAGGCATGATGATATCGAAATAGTATTGTGATGTGAAATACCACAATACTTTATGCTGCTTTGTTTTAAAAGAACAGCATAATTAAATTAGTTTTCCCTGGTGATGTATTTGATGATTTGTCCGGTGAATATCTCTTATCCATGTAATGTTGGGCTCTAGGGAAACGATCGCCCCCGTTTTCCTCTGGGGTGCCCCTTCATTTACCCAGCAGCGCTGTGGGTTAAATGAGAGCCACATGTACCCTGCTACCGTGGATCTCAAATGAAGTGTTCTTCCGGTGGGTGACCTCTGACCTCGCCAGACGCTCCTCTGGGCCGGCCTGAGCAGTGCCCGGCAGGCCACCACTCACCACCTGGGTCTGCACCTCAGACCTGCTCTGCATACTTCAACACGTTCATACATACACGCCACATGTAAGCTTGCTCACTCGTACGCAGCATAGACCACTATACACACTCATAATGGCAGCTACATCCAGCAGAGATCTGTTCCTCTCTCTACACGCCGCCGCTTATAAACACCTTCCAGCTGCGTCCAGGTCCCATATACCTTACATGTGTGCCTATGACCTTTGAACCTATAGATCCTATTAGTGGTCTTTCATTGTTTCCCAAAAACTTCAGCCGTGATACAAATTAGATTTAAACAGAGCAGGATTTTTGTGATTGCCCAGTTACATAAATACAAAATAATAGTGTTTTTGCTTTGTGGGCTCTTTAAAGGGGTACTTCACTGCTGGCAAAATGGGGTTTCAATAAAACTTATTAGAAAAGGTAGAAAGGCGAACATAATTTTGAAATCGGTGCTATCTGACTGAACAAAACAGAGAAAAAGTGTTTTCTTTCCCTTTTTGGCAAATATTTAGGAAAACTTCAACACCCATAATGCTCTGCATGTTGCCATCAAAAGCCACTCCCAACGTATTTGTAGTCATCAACATTTCAAACTAGATGACCATGAACAAAGTGTTGGAGCTGTCACTTAAACGTGTTTTAATGTGTTTCATATACACTACCTTTAAAATGTTTGGGGTCTGTACAATTTTTAAATGTTTCTGCCTAGAAACATTTTATAGTCTGAATTTATTTGATTTAAAATACAGTACAGTAATATTTTGAAATATTATTACAATTTAAAATAAATGTTTTTTTTTATTTAAATGTAATTTATTCCTATGATGCAAAGCTGAGTTTTCGGCATCTTAACTCCAGTTTTCAGTGTAACGCAATACTTCAGAAGTCATTCTAACATGCTGATTTGATGGATCTACATTCAACCTTGCTAAATAAAAGTAGTTTCTTCAGAAATGCAAAATATTACAAAAAATTATACTTTGAATGGTGCACACACACATACACAGGTTTCCATGTTTTATGAAGTTTACTTACTTTTTAATATTTGAAAGGTGGGTGGTATAGACAGAAGACAGTGCCACGGATGTTTTTGTCCGTCTGCAATAGTTTCCTCCCCGGGGCTGAGGCTTGATAGATGGCTTCCCTCTCCACTCTGTAGTCCAAGAGGAAATCCAACACACACACACACACACACACACACACAGTATATGTAGTTCCACAGGCTCATGAATAAACTATAAATGCATCATCATATAATGAAGAGCATCACGGTAGTCTTAACATAAAAGATCTTTCTTTGAATGATCAAACACTTGTCAGATTTTTACCACTAAACCTCTGTAATGACAAAAAAATCCACAGTGGAATAGCTCACAACGAAGGAAGTAAACGTATTTGATTTGATTTAAACCAGAGCGATCTCCTCAATTGACTCTGAAGTCAAGCATGATATAAAGGATTCTCATCTGTGAAACTGTTTTTCATGCATGCTTGGGCCCCAAATGAACATCTTTTTTAATCAGACATGTGGTATTCATTGTTCATACTAGCACTGAATGCTTATTAAATACAAGATCTTACTCAGTTATCAATCATGATTAGGGGTGAAATGAACTGAATTGACTTGCTATGAAGAAAATCAGTAATTTGTCTTTTTTCCAGTTCTTTTACACGCTTAAGATATTTTACGGAGGAAAATTGTGAGATATATTATTGCATTTTTTAAATTATTATACATACAATATTATATATATTTTTATCTCATTGGCATGTTTTTTTTTTATTATTATTCTTTTAAGCATAAACATCACTAAATTTTTAATTAGTGATGTTTAAAAAATGCCAGTGAGGTTATAAAATTAAACTTAATTTAAGATTTATTCTTTGAAAAACAGTTTTAATAACTTATACAATGTTTGTTTCTTCCGGATTAAATTCTTGATTTAATCTAAAAAAAAATATATAGATTAAAATTATTTTTTGTGTGATTTCTTCTTAAAAGTTCAAATCCATTTAATAAAAAGAAACATGTCATTATATTAAAAAAGATTTTCTGGGGTCCAAAGAAAATGAGGTTGTAAATGCATTTGATGGTGTTTGCATTTGTGGAATGCTTCTCTGGAGTGTTTTCCTGCTGCTACCTTTGAGCCTTGCCACAATGAAATTTTTTTGAGTTCCTCAAAAAAATAGTTTTCATTATTCAATATTGAAATCAACATAATTTTACAAGCAGACTGAATTTTATTATGGCTTGGCATGGTGTTGTGTTCTTCTTAATCTGTAATGTTGACTGTTTCATTCTTTATTCTGTACCCATTTCTCTCACCCCTTTTTCAGGGTCCACCTGGACGAGCAGGCTTTCCGGTAACTGTCTCATAACGTGTCCTGTTGTCTGTCCATCTGTCTTGTTTGGTTTTCGTGCACTTTACCTTTCTGTAGTAGTGTCCGAGTTTTAAGAAGCTGTATCGAAACAATTCAACCACAAAACGTTGCATATTCTTGAAAAGCATCTGATATACAGTTTCTTTATTAGGACACACTAAAACCACCTTTTAACCAAGGGACTGAGAATATACAACCAATGTATTACGTTGAGAGTATTTAGCTTATTTTCTTAAATTCTTAATATTGCCTATATACAGTGGAGTGAAAAATCCTACAGTGAATGACTAAATCTAGGAATTTATGTGACTAAAAAGGATTTGAATATGACTAAATGTATAAATTGTTTGATCTTGCTTCCAATGAAGTTTAAGATGTTCTTTAGATCATTCTCGAATCATGCTGGAAAACAAGATCATCAGGTGGTACATAGACGTGTGCACTCCATTGTTATGCTTGTAAAATAATTTGTAATGCAGAAAAAGCGTCAAATTAAGATTGACTCCAAAGTAGTGCACCCTGGTCTCAGACTTTTGGACTCCACTGAACATTGCCCTAAACCAGATAATCTAAGCTGGACTTAAAGGAGTAGTTCACTTTAAAAAAAAAATTTGCTGATCATTTACTCACCCCCATGTCATCCAAGATGTCCACGTCTTTCTTTCTTTCTTTCCATGACTTGAAAAAAGATTTGTTCATTTTGATGAACGAGTTTGAACAGGAGAGTCACGGACGCTCATCACAAAACAGAGCAAGGCGACCATTTGAGCTTATAAAACTTAAACTTTTTATTTATTTTTTAAATGACCGATCGTTTCGCTAGATAAGACCTTTATTCATCGTCTGGTGTCGGTGTTTAAAGCCCTTTTAAACTGCGCTGAAACTCTCATTTGGACTTTGAACCGTTTGGTTCCCATTGAAGTCCATTATATGGAGAAAAATCCTGGAATGTTTTCATCAAAAACCTTAATTTCTTTTCGACTGAAGAAAGAAAGACTTGGACATCTTGAATGACATGGGGGTGAGTAAATTATCAGCAAAAGTTTTGTAAAAGTGAACTACTCCTTTAATGTAAAATGTAGTCTCTTAGCTTGGCTTCATGGACGAGTCTCTTTTCCTTCAAGTTAGCATATTGTATTTTATACATGATTGTATTCTCTCTGGCCCTTTTGGTGTCTGTCTGGATCCACTCTTCTGAATTTCTGCTGAAATTCTAATATTACTAACCAAAACTCAAACACATCTGTCTTTCATTATAGCATGTTAGAAGAAGTCCATCTTATTGTATGTGGACTCTAGTCCTACCTGCCAATTAAAACCTACAAACCCCCCATCACTCATGACAGCTCTTCTTGTGAAACTGTGAAATTGCCATAAAATCTTTTTTCTATACGTTTTGTTTAAATTGTTGACAGGTCTGGTCAAAGTGTGAATGTGATCCCTTGCCAAAGCTTTTGATTGATTGCATTGTCAGGAAATGAGATGAAAATTAGTATTTTTGTAGGATGGAGGGTAGGAAGGGGAGAGGGGCAAGTGTTTTACACAAAATGTGTCCATTAGATTAGTACTTCAAAAAAATATTGGTATTGGCTTTCAAGCTCGGTTGAACTATTAGGGGATTCTTGTGGTTTGTATATTTAAGCTTTCCTGCACATTCACATGTATATATGGCTATTTAACACTTCTGATTTGTAGTTAAGGACTTGGGGCTCATTTGGATAAGTCTGGACTTTGTATTGTACTTCAAGCTACTTTAAAGCTCTAGATATATCTATCTACAGTTATTAATTAAGTCATACTTAAATAAGTTATACTAGAATTTCAAAGTTTTACTAACTAATGCCATTAAGCTGTATTAAGTTTATCTCAAATCAGCACCTTGGACAGAGCCAAGAGAATTCAGTCAAGTGACTTTCCTCTTGGGGCATTCAGTGGCAGGCAGCGAATTAACTCTGAAGGTCCAACTAAATGGACATTTCTAGGAAGCTATCTTAACAGCTTCAAAACTTTAAGAAAGTGTGCTCAGTCATTGTTTGAGCATATGTTTTGTTGACTTCTGATGAGTTATGAAGTCTTAGCCAACTCGCCCCATCGCCCATCCCCCATTCCATTACGTGTTACTCGAGTGAGTCGTCAGCAAGCTGTCAACGCTCCCAGCCCTTCTAATACACTGACCTGCAACGTCAGGAATGCAAATAAAAACAGCTGTAGGAATGGACAGCCTTGCATAATAAGTCACTTCAACTTTGCAGGAGTTTGTGGCCATGTTATATAGTGTAAAATGTTTGGAAAAGTATTAGTCCAGGACTACAAATCGTGAATCCTTATGACCGTTTATTATTAGGATCTCATTTCCCTTATGTTCTCATAGTATGGGTTGTTTTCATAGTTGTTAAACACATATTTCACCCCCAATTTTATTTATTTTTAGGACTCATGTTATTTTAAACCCATATGGATTTCAATGGATCTTAAAAGGAGAACATTCTATTGTTCATTCCATTGGTCATGATAGTGCTTTTGCATACTTTTTAAAGCGTGATGGCTTCAGTTTTAGTGGAAGAAAGGAAGTAATACTAGTTTAAAGTGACATACCGATGAATAAATGATGACAGGATTTACATTTTTAGGTGAACTATTCCTTTAAATCCTTCCAAAAGGAAACAAACTTTCATGCTCTCACACTTTTTCAGGCACTTCATCATCTGTGATATGGTCAGCTAGCAAACATTGTCTAATGCAAGATTATTTGCAACATACATTTGCTGTATTAACTCCATGCTTTCATTGGGATCATGTAATCACTGATGACGCTTGATGTCTGTCTGCTACGCGTTCATTTCAAATTCTTAAGTAGTTAACTTTTAGATTTTGAAGAAGTCTTTGGCATGCGTGCATCATCAGCTTTCAATTTACCAGTAGGTGAATGTTTAGTAACATAGACATTAAGTTGGCGTCACACTGGGCAGCTTAACATTTCTAACTCTTTGTAGCCATACCACTTGAATATGTGGCTGAATGTAATTTAGTCTCTAGCGGTAGTGGCAGTAACTGCAGATGTAGAGCTTCCGTCTGTCAGATTGATTGTTCCTGATTTTCCTCTTGACTTTGCATTGACCACTAGGGAGACAAAGGATCAATGGGCATTCCTGGAAGAATGGTGAGTGATTTGATATGCATTAAAGCCCAACAAGCTAGTCTGTAGTATATTGCTGTAGTCTTGAATAATTGGTCATAAATGCTCAGTAGCATGCCATTATTTAAAGCTAAATATTTATAGCTAGAGTGACTGTATAGCACCTCTGCTATACTTTGACACCAGTAATTTATGCCAAAGGCCATACTGATTATATCAGGTCCGATTGGACAATATTAATGTTTGTTCTAATTGCTAAAGTATGTCTTATACAACATCCAGTATAATTGATTATCACTTCCTAATTTGTTTTGACTTGTTTTAGCTTGCACTGTGAATTTAAGCATTCGCAAACTTTCCCATGAATTTCTTCCAAATGTTTAATGTAGCTTTTCAGCGCAACTATATGACATAAACCAAAAACTATATCTTATTTATTCAGTCAGAAAATGGTTTCCACTTCATTGCCACCATTGTAAGTTAAGGAAATGTCTCACTAAGATGTCTGAAAAAGTTCCGTCACATTTGAACAAGGGCTGAAGAACAGAGTTCTTTCTGGCTGCATTTGATGAGAAATTCTCTCTCTCAGTTTGTCTTGGCTGCTCAGTCATGTAAAAATGATTTACTTGTTGAACTTTAAATAGAAAATAGCACTTTTTTTCTTGTCAGTCACACTCTACGTGCTGAGAAGGTAAAATTTCCAGCCAAACCTAGAGGAGATCTTGGAAGAAAAGTGTTGTGTATATATATCCACAGAGAGACAATATAGATATATTCAAAGAGAGAGAAACAGATTTGAAACCAACAGACAGTTGCAAGCTCCTCGTTCATAAGATTTGTGCATTTGGAATTGGCCATTTTTCAGATTAGCACAATGCATGATGTGTCGCAACAGAATTAAGGGTCATCCAAAAACCACATAGTCATATAAATGTCCCCCTGGAGCGTAGCAGCTACTCTTCCTTAAACATTTTCACTAAGAAACGGATAAAACTGCATTGTCCTCAAAGGAGACATTCCAGAATCTTGACCCTTGAATGGTTGCATACTCTAAGCTCACCCTAATGCTTTCTCTTGAAAAACAATCCCTACCTAAAAGCAGTCCGCAGCGTTCAGCTCAAACTGTGAGCCCCAAGCTGAGTTTTCCATATTTCACCCAGTGTAAAGCTACATTGTGCTCCTTTAGATTCTCACAGGAAGCGGTTTTTTTTTCACCCTTCATGACTTATCCTTCCCCCCTCCAACATCCTCCACTGACCAGTCTGTCTGTGAGAAAAGTTAGCAGCCCCCTCATCTACTATCCATTACTCCCCACAGGCCAGCAGTGTAACACTCCAGTGCTTCCGTTCCCCTAGCCTCCACCCCTCAACAACCAAAAATGCTCCAGTACGTCAGTGTGTCCCATTCTCCAACCTCCAAACGCTCCGTCTCAGGCTGCTGCATGCCTGTGCCCTCTCAGAACCTTGCTAACCCTGGTTCCTCTCTGTCTCTCTCCTTCTCACTGTGCATGTGACTGTGTCTGCTGTGACTGACCAGGGCTTAAAGGGAAACCTGGGGGAGAAGGTAAGTGCAGGACGTCAGCCTGCATGTGCAAAATTGAGACTCTCTCACTGTGGGTGGCTGTGTTGATGCGGGTGGGGGGAGACGACCTGAATCCATTGCACAAAGTGCACAGGTATCGTGATTTATATCAGGAAGGCTTCAGGCTTTATTTTGAAGGGCCATGGGGGTCACATTCGGAAGACGTTTCCCACAATTCTTGGATTACCTGTTTATTCTTGTAGCACTGACTCCCTCAATCTAGACAAAGAGATGTTTGGAATGAAGCAGGGTACAATATCCGACCACTTCAGGACCCTTCCAAAACTAGCCGAATGTTGTGTAGTCTCTAGAAGTCTCTTCAAGTCTGAATTTGGTGTGACTGAGCACTCTAGACTGAGCTTCAGTTCCTGTTGTGGCAAATGTGGTTTGAGCCATTCTTAAACCAGGCCCATTTGGCAGTTTCGCTCCGTGTTTGTACAAGCCAGCAGTTCTGTGGCCTCCCCTTCATCAAGCTGGAATGATATGTAATGTCTGAGGCCGAACAAGTAATGTGAGGAGAAACACATTCTTCATCCTTCACCATCACAGAAAAGTAGTGCAACTTCTGGATGGTTACCCTCGCTTGCCAGCAAAACACTGTGGTTCTAAAGAAATTGGATGGGAAATAAATAGTGATGTGACCACCGGGCCGACAAGTAGAGAAGCAGACAATATACGACCTTGGAAAGACCTACCACATTCCCATCCAGAATAATCAGTGGGGCTTCCCTTGTTGTTTCAGGGGTTTACTTTTATCCCCTCTTTTTAAGTGCGGTCATGTTTTACCTTCCAGCCAGGGTAAGTCTTGACCCAGCAAAATTTGGGTGAAGAACTTCACGTCATTGGATATCAAAACAAACCCCGTCAAGATAAATGGGCACACTAGCCCTGAAACTGGCAGCCTTAGCGCTTCAGTCCTCAAACAAATAAATTCAGTTGAATCATAAGTGGTTGCGTCGGAAAGCTCAAGCCAAATGAAAATCAGGCGAATCAGTGATTGATTGGTTGAACTTTGCAAGAACTGCAGAACTTGAGACAATGTATTCCTTAGACAGAAAGGATTACTTGTTGAGCGAAATGAAATCTGTGAAGATCGTATCATTCATTAGTAAGACCAATTCTTAAATATCAGCAGAATTTGCTCCTGCTTTGGCTGAATATATTTGGACTCTTTGTCCAGTACCCATTCCTAGCTGCCAAATGCTTGTAATGTAAGCCTGTTCAAAGGAATATCTCTAGATCTTCAGTTGTCTTGTTGCACAGATCTCTGCAAGAGTAACCATAAACCTTGTGGGGCAAAGCTTAGGAGTCCTTTCTTTTTCCACAACCTGAAAATCAGTTTAGTACATCACCCCTTTCACTCTCTAGTGACCTTTGTAGGTGACTCAAAAAAGTGCTAAAACAAATACTCCTTAGTCCCCCGATAAAGTGGGCATTGAACCAGAAAATGTAAAAATTGTCCACAATTTGATGGATGGCTGAGTCATCAAAGGTGTCTTCCTGATAAAGTTTCACATGAGAGAGCTAATTAGGGAAAGTGCTGGAAACCTGAGAGCTTTCCTGTCTGACCACAGAGCGTAGCGGGATTGCGCTTGGATGTTTGGTGCAGCGCTGTGGACAGGCAGACACCGTGCAAATCACCTAGTTTACGCCAGATAACCAGCCCGCCGGGCCGTTTGCTGTTTACTCAGCAGTGCTCCCTGACCCTCTCAATTCGCTGTCAAGATGTAAACTACAACTCTGAAATAAGAACCAGGGTCTGCTGACATTTTACTTTGACCAAAATACGGTGTTCACCTCTGAGCCACATGCAAGCGCTCTCCGTGAGGCGGCTTAGCAAAAGAGTTATGTCAAACAGATGTTATAGGGCGTTTCAGAACGGGTTATTCTATTCTGCAGATACAATATGTTTGTATGGCTACAATATGGCTTTGTGCACTAGGTGTAGTTTAGTGGATATCATTCTTTCTCTTTTCTGTCACTTCCTCTCCTCACTGTCTTTCTACCTCTCTTATCTGTCCGTAGGGAGCGCCAGGAGAGCCAGGTCTGTCTATCATTGGCCCACGAGGACCTCCTGTAAGTGTTTGCTCTGTCATTGCTTAAACCCTTCAACGTCTTCCTCTAATGTCAGATCTCCAGAGTAGATCTAGGTGCAGATTTTAGCTTTTGGCCTCAATCCTATGATTCCAAGAGTTCTTGGCAGGGGGTTGTTCTATTGTTTTCCTTTCCCCACTTAACTTACAGACCACCCCAAAGTGAGTTCGATAAATATATGGTCTAGGCTAGATAAGCGGGATCAACGTCTTCTAGCACACTACTGTATTTGGAGAAAATCCAATGAATCTCGTCTAATCAAGACTTGATCTCTAATGTGCACGAACAGGACGGGAATCCCGCTGCAGCTTGTATGGAAGCACTTACACTTCATCAGTGTATTTCGGGGCTGCGACTCCCACGTAATGAAGCCCATTTGGAATCTCATCTTCATTAGCAAGAAGGAACGAAAACATCCCGGCCCTTGTCATTATAATCCAGTCATTAGATGTGCAGATTGTGCTGTATCTGTTAATGAGTGGTCAGTCATCAGGCGAAATGGGGCTTGTCCCCAAACTGGCACTCTTTCCCTGTCTTTGCATTCCATTCAGCAAGACAAAACTGTAATGTTACGCCTTCAGAGGCGCAATTTCCTTGTTGATTATGCCGTGCAAAACTTTGTCCTGTGGTTTCCCCATTCCTCCAACACACTCTTATGGCAGGGCCGACTGTTCAGACATCTGTTTTTCTTCTTGCTGATTATACACTTTTCTATACCTCTGACCCATCACCTCTAATAAGGCGGTCAGGAGTGGACATCAGGCGTAGAGAACTGGTGACAGGTGAAGTTTCATTGCAGGGCTGCCTCAAAGGCAATGTCTTCAGCAGTTGTTCTGAAAGCACAGGCTTTGTCCTCACCTCCAAAAGGGTCACAGAGGTTGATTTGAGGCAGAAGTGTGGAGAGGCCAGCGGAAATGACTGCTTTTGCCAGGCAGGTAGACCTGATAGTTTCTTTCTCACACATAATTGGAACAGTTATGGAGGAAACTGAGAGATCATTAGATGATGTGTTGAGTTTTCATTACATTTACAGTTATTGTCTTAGCTGATCAGGTTTGATCAGAAAGTTATAAAGATACAACATAAATACAAGCTATTCTCAAATACGCAAAAGGAAGGAAGAAATACTTTTTATTTCTAACTGATAAAACTGAGGCTATCAAAACAATTAAATGAATGTGATTATTCCTATGATTTCATGATATCGGTCTTTGGAAGGTCAATTAATTACATTTATATATATATATATATATATATATATATATAGGTAACATTGTTGCTTTGAAAATCCCTTTTGTAGATTCCTTAGTACCACTGGACCCCAGTTTGAAAACCCCTGTCTTATGTGTCATGTTTTTGTCATATTTTGTTCAAAGTACACTGAAAGTGATATTTAATCTAAGTTTAATTCCAAGATTAGATTGTGGTCAGAGAATGTATGTTGTATCACTCCTGAAGAATGTTATGGATTGCGTCCATAGTGGATTTTAGGTTTAGAGGATTTTCTTTGCTGGACTGACTTGTATTCAATTGTTTTCTATTACTTTTTGTTACATTTTTGTGCCAACAAAATTAATGTTGTCAGTGCTGTTTTGGGTGATTCCGAGGGGGCACATGCTGCTATTTCCATTATTCCAGACCTTTAGGTTCCCAAGGCAGAGAAAATCAGCCATGTTCCAATAACTACCTGAGACCCAGACACACAATCCCCTTCATTAGCTCCGTTCACCTCTTCCTTGTAATTTTCTCTCAGGTTGCTCCAACGCAGTCTTTTTTTTTTTGCCAGGCATATTGAATGACTTCCTTTTTTCCCAAGGGCTGCAAAAGTTTATTCAGGAAAGCAAACTTAGTATTGTTCACAGCATAATGTAGCACTAATGATTACTGACATTTACTTATTCAGAATGTGAGAGCCAATAAGACAAATTAAACAAGGGACAACTCTAATGTTTTCCAGTTAGTTCTTTCCAGGGTTGAATTTCAGTCAGTGTCCCACAGTTTTTAGAGCTTTATTTGTCTTTGTCTCCTCATCCCGCACAAAGTGCTTCCTACAGAGCAGGAAGGCTCTTGTCCTTCAACCTCAATTACGACACAAGTTTGGAGGAACAATACTCCGTCTCTCAACACAGACCTCCTTTCATCGAGTTCACATAATCCTCATGTTTTTCGTATAGAAAATAACTGCTTATCTTTTTTCTTTCTGTCTCCCCTCAGGGACAGCCCGGTACTAGAGGATTTCCAGGCTTTCCGGTAAGTGACTTTTGTCTGAAGCCAACTGGACAAACCTCTAGTTTATTTGTGAGTTTATAAAAGCCACCAATTAGCTACTGGTTGCCTTGACCCCTCATTTAATTGATGCACATGGAAATGACTCAAGGAATTGCGACTAAATGTACTGTAAATGTCCTAGAACCCTTTCTATAGGCTGTCTGCCTCCTCTGGAAATTAAAGGCCCTTTTCAGGTGTTTATTTCCCGATTAGCTGGACACATTGTTAAAATACAGTACCCTCTGTGTGTCAAGTTAGTGTTTTACCTTGACTTTCAAGGCAATCATTTTTTTTATAATAAACATTGTCATATTAGCTTGTCTAGACAGGAGAATTGGAGCTGTTTTGTGCCTTCACAAAATCACCAACCTGCTGTTCTCCCACTTTTTTTCCAGGGCCCCATCGGCTTGGACGGGAAACCCGTGAGTTTCGCTTCATTCCTTACAAATGTTTGAATAATTGGCGCTCATGCAGGTTTGGAACCTCCGAACCCTTGCACCAAATTATTTGGCAGTAATTGATAATTGACGGTCATTTTGGCAATGAAGAGTATAATTATGGTAATAATAATTATGCCAATTATCATAATAAATTCACTATTGTCGCCATCATGACAGAAATCAACTATGATATGTGTACACTACAAATAATGAAGTAATTTGTGCTACCTAAAAGACTAAAGAGAATGGATATTTTGCCTTTGCCTTTTTTCCACAACCTCACAGGGACAGAATGGTCCAAAAGGTGATATGGTAAGTAACCATTTAACCTACCATTGCAGTGCAATAACACATTTCCTATAAATGTGATCCTAAGAAAACACACATTCGCTGGAATGAATTGAAGTGTTAAAATATAAATCTAAATGCTTTTAGATAAAGGGAGACATAATGAGATCTGTCATGTTCACTTTTACTAGAGAAATACCGCTGGAATAAAAACCATTCGTCATAAAGAGACATATGTAAAGAAGTAAAACATATCATAAAGAAAAGTTTGTCAGTGTCCATAAAACTCACCAGTAGAGCCATTTGTTTTCAAGATGGCTTGTTACACTGATGTTTATGTAGGCTGTAAGCATGACCATATAAATTCACAAGAACAACACTCTTGTAGTTTGATTTATGGGTAGAGTGACTGAATGGCGTGTGTGTGAGAGAGAGAGAGAGAGAAAGAGATGATGGACCACATTTCATTCAGTGGGGTTTGTGAAAAGTAACTTTAAGTATTTAGCCGCCTGTGGTATTAAAACAAGGACATTGACTTTGGGTTGGCTCTGTCCTCTTAAACTGTGACTTGAAAAATGTAGTCAAGAGTTTTCTTTTTCGTGATGAAAGACAATGGGCAGATAGTTTAGGCTCCCAGGCTGTGCGCTTTAAACCATTCCTTATGAAATATAGTGCAACCTCAATGTTCCTTCTTTCATAGCATCGTGAGAAAATGCAAGCTTTGAAACTATAAAAGAGAAGCACTTTATGAAATGACACCTGTATAAGACAGCATCCGAGCTGAACGGCCCCTGCTGAGCTTTTGAACATGCCTCACTGAGCCTTCAAAGTAATACATAGAAGCCTATGTATTATATAATTTCATTGATAAGTTTCTTCTCAGAATCTTCACACTCAACATTTGCTTTCAGCCTTACATAGACGTATTACAGAAATTGATTTGTTGCTATTTCTGAATGAATGTTATGACTTGGAATCCATTTAACTGTCATTTCTAAGGCTGGGTTACAAGTTTTTCAGAATTTTGGGGCATCGATTTATTAAAAGCAGCCACTGATGCTCTCCATACAAACACACAATGATACTTCTAACCTAGTAAAAAATGGCATTTGTTTTTAGCAATTAGCCTTTTTTGTATTTCCTTTTTCAATTCATTTATAAAGAACTGTTTTGTGCGTTTGTGCATGTTATGACTGAGAGGTTTGGCACTGTTGGTCGTAAACAGGGAAATATAATCCACTAACACGTCCGTATTGTAATTGTGATTATTTCCATAGGGTCCTCGTGGTCCTAAAGGAGTACCAGTAAGTATTTGCTTAAATATATTGATATACTATATCATCACAGTTCCACAGTTTTTATGTGGCAGTGGAATGCCATGCATGAATTATGTTGGATGGATTTGTAATTGTTTTGTTCAAATCTTATTTTTCAGGGTGAACCTGGTCCAAAAGGAGAGAAGGTAAAATCCTGCGTAAAATGCATAAAAATAGCAGCTAATTTTCTTTTATTTTGTGAGGATGACACATGATAGATTTTGTTTTTCTTTTATATTCTAGGGTGTATGTGGTGACTACACTCACAGGGTGAGTGAATATTTTATTGAACTTATTGTTTTTCTGATATCAAAAACAATGTGAATGTTTCTTTTATGGTTTAAAGTAAGCTACCAAATACGCTTCAAAGGTTGTCTGGTGTTGAAAAATACCAAATATATGTTTCATTCCAGTTTGTCAAAGTGATTTCTTTAGTTTACCCTTAAAAAGACATGTACAACATGTTTTGTGGTTAATTTAGAGACATTAACAGAGGGAAAAAGGGAAGGCAGCTTGGATAGTCTCAGATAGGCAGCACATGCCAAGGCAGGGCCTCAAATTTGATCTGCCCTCTCTCGGGGAAATCACAGTTTCTTGTAAACGCAGCAATTTTTCCAACAGCCTGCTGAATTAGATTTGATAAGACCCTCTGTTAAAAGGGGTTTTGGTAACAGCCCTAGCCTATTTAAAAGTAATTGTGGCCTTTTGAAGCCATTTTATCAATTATGTAATCTCAAAAACAACACGCAATATAGAAGCAGAAAATAGTCTTGGCAGTAGATGTTTCTACTGAATCTGTGTTTTGCTTGAAAAAGAAAGTACAGAAACAGCAGCAGGACACGTACAGTTGATAGATTTGTTTCTAGGAATTTAATCACTGCTTTTATTGTGTAAGTAAGTAAATCATACAGATGTATCACATCAAAACTCATTTTTCATGCATGTCAGCCAGGCCTTTTTGGGTGTTTGTAGTACTGTAGGTTATTTGCAGTTAGGGTTAAACCCAAAGGTCACTGTGCTAGACTGAAAGGATACACCCTTCAGTGATGGAACAAAAATGGGTATTATCACTTGAATGTGTGTGTGTGTTTATGTATCCGTACCCATGTCCGTGTATTTGTATGTTGGGCCGTTTTAAGCAGGGGCTCCCAATGAAAACGCTGGCAGCTTTGCGCTCCAGTCAGGCTCTGATGTTGAAGGTTTGTGGGCTGTTCGCTGTCCCTCATCCCTAATACCGTGATATGTGTGTTCCAGTCCTGCTGCAAAGAGAGACATAGCTGAAAACTGTGCTTTAGTTTATCCACATGCACTGTTGGAGGTGCAGAGAGGTGCCTGTTATTATAACTGATTGAAAACTCTATAGGAATTTATAATGACACATTTTAACACACAGCTGTTTTCCTGCTTCTTCTTTGGCCTTCTCAAGGAACTTTTATGGTTGTGGTATATCATTTTAAGATACACTATGCAGCTGTAACTTTATATGTCATCGAAAATGCATCCAAATGTCTTTTGGATATGTTAAATACATAAATACCATGTGTCTTTTATATTTTGATTGGCCTCCTAATGCATAGAGTACCTTAACACAATGTAACAAATTGGTGAAAAACCTTCTGCAGGGAGATAAGGATACTTGAAAACACTTGCCTATTTGTATGTATTTTCTCTTACTCGGAAATTCAGTGAGACGATCAGTGCACTTTTATAGTGTATATGAAAATATAGATTGTGTATATCGCTTTTCAATATATTACGTATATATTTTGGAATATATTGGAATATGTACACTACATTCAGAAGTTTGAGGTCAGTATGGTTTTTTCAAGGATGCATTAAATTGATCAAAAATGACATTTATGTTACAAAAGGCTATTCTATTCAAAGAATCCTGAAAAAAAAAAACCTGCCATTGTTTCCACAAAATCTTTAAGCAGAATAATAACAAGAAATGTTTCTTGAGTAGCAAATCACAGAATTAAATTACGTTTTAAAATATAGTCAATTAGAATATAGTTCTTTTAAATAAAAACATTTTTGTACTGTATTTTGTTCAAATAAACACCGGCTTGGTGAGCGTAAGAGCATACAGACCTGAATCTATTGAACAGTAGTGTATATTCCAAATATCCAAAAGTCTCAGACCTCATTGAAAAGGTCATTTTTAAAGAATTAGTGCAAAAATTAATAACTTTTGGAACCATAATTGTACATTTGTGTGTGTAATTCACCAAGCAAAAATATGAAATACAGGCAACTCACAAGAAGGCAAGTTGTATTTAGGGTAATATCAACTGTCAGTGGTATATCTATAAGTCAATAACTCTGCAATCTGTGCTTTGGAATGATGCTGATCTCAACAGAAACGCCGTATTGTCAACATCTGTGCTGGAGGACAGGCCACAGTAAGTCTGTTGCGAAACTCTCTTTGTGGCAAGACTGAATCCAGCCTGATCTACACAGCATTGTTGCAGAGTTACAGGTGCCTTCACAGTGGAGATGAAACATTATCAATGGTAATGTTTGATATGTGAATTAATAGGGCTGTCAGTCAACTACAAATGAACAAAATCGAATCAAATGCATAGTTTATAGACTTTTACCTGCATATTACTAAACATCAATCTTTTATGTTTAATTTGAGATATTAATTTGATAATTGTTATAAATAGCAAACCTACAGTACTCCACTCTGATGGGGCTGTGACTCTGTTCAGTGATGCTGAATCCTTTTGGCTCTGTCTCTCTATCCCCTTGCCTTGCTTTTTCCTTACTGTTCACTTTCTTTTTCATTTGTTTTTCTGTTTTTTTCCCTTCCCCTCCTCATCTGTCTCTGGCCCGTTTCCTTCCTTTGGCCTCCTGGTGAACTTGTTGGCCTGGTGGTTTTGTGCACCGTGGCCCACCTGTGCTTTGTGACCTCAGCAGATGTTACCCATCACCGTCCGCAACATGCCCTCAATAAGCCCTCTAATCCTAAAGCGCCTCAAGGTACATCTCTCTCTGCCACCCTCGCACCCCTTCCTTACGGATGCCAACCTCTATCCACCGACTGCCAGCCAGGCCTGTGTTGAGTTCATTAACAAAGCTCGAACAAACAGCCATGGTTGAATTATCTTAGCCAATAGTTTCATTGTCTTGAAATGACATAGTTCACTTGAAATACACTAAAGTAATGTCCAATTCACAAAATTTATAGGCTTATAAACTCTACCCCACAGCAAGAGCTTCTGTCAGGCCATCTCTGTCTTCTATGTCCATCTGTTTTAACTGGACATTATCTCAATAAAATTTTCTAATACATAATGGATTGTCATCATATGTCTAGTCCTATGATAATGTTGGGTTTAAGGATCGTTCAGGTATTTTTGAGCTGATGTTGGATATAAAAGATTAATACAACTACTAGAGAATTTTGGGTGCGATTTAAATTTTTTTAATTATTCAAATGTCTGTTTTAATCAGTAACATTTACAGTTCAAATTGCTAACATTAGTTAATGCATCAGGTATCATGAACAATAAATTAATTTTTTTGTAGCATAATGTATTAAAGGCCACATTTGTCATGGTTATGGTGTAATTACGCAAATTAGCTAGTAATATTAATTGATGTGCACTTACTGTAGGTTCAGTAGGTACTGTAGGTTAAAATAGTGTTCCCATGTTAACTAATGTCAGTTTATGCACTGTAAAAAAAATTGTTGTTTTAACTTAAAAAAGTGAGTAACCTGGTTGCCTTAATTTTAATTTTAATTTAATTTAATTTTAATTAGCGTTAATACAATGGAGATTAATTTAATCATCAGAAACTCAAAATAATAAGTTATCTCAACTAAATAAATTATTTAAGTTGATTTGACAAAAGAAAAAATGTTGTGATAACAAATCTTGAAATTTTTATTTTTTTTTACAGTGTGCAAATTGTTAAAAAATGTATTTATATAAGTAGGAATTAACCAAAATAATTTTTCATTATTTAATTTTAGATATTGCGTTAACTAATGTTGACATATTATCGTTTAGTGTTACTGACTTTCGGAACATTTGCATTTAAAATAAAGTATTTTTTAGGAAAATAGACCAACAAAATCTTATGACATCAACTTGCACTCATAGGCGTGTCCAATTTGTTTGTCCAATCAGATGCTCTAATTTTTTTTTTTTTTTTTACAAAAACACTCGTTAGGCCATTTCATGGGGTGTTTAAAAGTTCAAAATGTGTATATTTTATTCTTCGTCAGTCTACAATGTCTTCGTCAGGGCTCCAGCCATAATCACAAAAGAAACAGAAGGTTGAAAAAAACAATGACAGTCAAAAGATAACACAAAAATGAGACGGCTCAGCAGAAAAGTGCTTTCACTGCCCACTCCAGGAAGTGCCCCTGGCACAGGTTGACCACGGTTGGCACCCGTCCTCCATCTTAATTCTTCAGGTGTGTGTAATCTGTGCACACCAATTTCGAGTACCATGCTTGGAGACAATGGAGCAGACTGTGGAAGAGAAAAAGTGTTAGGGAAAGATCTTTGCAGCTGATTGGATGGGTCTCCGACTTGGGTCGGGTCTGTGCATTGGATGGAGATCATGGAATGTCTCCATTTAATGGATCTACATCTGGCCTCATAAATCAAATCTCGACAAGTCCTGTCAAGGAATAAATGGATAAAATATGGATATGAAGCTGATGGATGCGTTTCGGATTTCTTTGAGCTTCAGACTTTGCTACTGAACAGAGACTGTGCTAAAGAAAGGGTTTTCTTTGTCACGGTATCTGCTCTATTTGTGGTTAATCAGTCTTGTACACGGTTGCCAGTATGTAGGAGGTCTTAATTTTCTGTCTATAGTAGCAGACTTGGAAATAAATGCTTTTAATGGAAGGAAAATTGAAAGTTCTAACACCAAATTTTCCGTTTGCAGACTAAGCCTCTTTAATGTTGAAAACAGACGTTTTTAAAATTAATTACACAGCAGAAATCTTACAGTACATAATCAGTTTTCCTCATGGTCTCTTCTCAGGAAGAGTAAGATATTGTTTAGTCGAGTCTTATTTCCTATTTTCACATCCCTCTCGGTGTGTAAATACTGGACACTTTCCTGTAGATGATTTTGTTTAGTCTCTTTTTGTATTGAAGGTCTCGTCATGCTCATAACTGAGAAGTACCCGAGATAGTTTTAAAACGTCCATAAATGGATCGTGTGGAGCAGTGGTTTTTTTAACTGGTCGGTTGGTAGGGTTGCGGACACCGGGGAAAAGTTATGCTAAATGCAATTGATTAAATAAATAGGCTTAACAACCTTTCAAAGGGAGGAGAAAAATCTTCTCATATATTTTATAAAATTAGTTATAAAAATCAGTTAATTAAAATCAGTTGTAAAATCATAACTTATAAAATTTTTAAATTAGGTGCAAGTATAAACCTTAATTATAAACTATAAAATTTGAGGGATAAAATTCAAGGTTCAATTTTAAACAACTTAATATTTTGGATTCCCACTCTAAAGAGCGTCTTCCACTGATGTAGACCTGACTGAAGAAGTTTCGTGAGGCCACTAGCTAAATGTAAGGGTTTGTTAAGTTTTAGACATAAGTTAATGGTTAGTGGGCCACTGAAGAGTTTCATAAAAGAAAAACTTTTCCCCCCCCACTATTTTCCAAACATGGTACTCTATAAACTAGAATAACATCAATCATCTCATCCTGACACTTTGACTTTCAACTTAACCTTCAAACTTGGGTTCCTCTCAGCTTCAAATCCATTGTTTCCTTTTAATTATTGTAAATATTTTTAAAAAGAAAATAAATCACATTTTATAAAAGATCTTGAGTAAATATTCCATCAACAAATTTGTTCATTCATTAATTTCGTATCTCATTATTGTGAATTACTGGATTTGAATCGGAGTGGATCCTGCCACTGATGTTATGAATTGTACTTTATATCCAAATGATTTCTTTATCTCAGATGCTAACTTCCTGTCTCTCAGCAGGGCGAGCCTGGCGCACAAGGACCACCGGGACCTCCTGGCCCCCCAGGGCCTGCGGGGACTCCTGGTCTTAATGGTGCTAGTGGGCCCCCGGTAATCTCACTTTAATTTTTTATAACCTTGGATAATGTACAGTCAGCTTTTTTTTGGTTTTTTTTATTGCAAAATAAACTCCTTTGTGTCTTGTGTGATGAGGAAACCAGCTTATAAATCATACTATTTGATGCTTTACAGAAAGTTTTCTGTGATTACTAGGTTTAGGGGACAAAATATACAGTTTATACAATGTGTGTATGCGTGCGTTTTAACTATCTTACCGACTCTTTTTTTTTGGCAAAGGGTAAACCCGGAGAACCTGGAAAACCTGGAAAAGACCCAAGGGTGAGTATTCGAGTACACGCATTGTCATCCTTACCTTTCAAGCACGGATACTCAACATCCGAAATCTAAAATGCTGTTTCTTTTTCTTTGATTTTAGATGCTACCGGGGCTGAAGGTAAGCTTGAAAAGCACACAGCTGTCCAGCTGCACAGCAATGATAGTATTTTCCACAGGCGAGTCATAAACAGGCTCACATGAAGTTCACACACAGTTCAGCAGCCTACAGGGTGGGTCCGCTCTGTCTTTGCCAGTACAGTAGGGGTGGATACGCCATAATTGATTAAGCGTGTTGCTGTTGGATAAGTATGTATTTCCCCTGATACGTTAATTGCCATTTAGTTTATACTAGGAAATATTAATTGTGCTCCATTTAGAAGCACTATTCCCTTACTTTAGCCGTCTATAAAGATTGCCTGCTGGTCTATATAAGAGCTGTAACTGGAGGACTTCAAGTTCCCAATAAACGAATACCATTCTGCTTATAGCCCCTTTTAAACAAATTCTCGATAAAAGCCACAGAGCAAATAGGTCTTGGATGGATATTTGATTGTTTTTTTTTATTTGTTATTATTTTTATAGGGTGAACCCGGTGTACCTGGACAGAAGGTGAGAGTGTTCAGCAAAGTTCATGAGTAAACATTTATTGTTTGTGTTATCCGAAAAGCCATATTTTAAATCCCACATCAACTAGAAATTTGGCGCTGCCGCTAATTGCTTAAACAAAACGGATCCTCCTTCTCAGAGGAACCTTTAGGAATTAAGCAGAGTGACGTATCAATTATTCATTCGGCAGAGTGATTGAAAACCTCTAAGTCTTATTAATCGCAATGATAGATGAAAAGTTTGAAACTTGGAGAAAGAAGCTTGGCACGTCATGCTAGACCATGGATAAAGTATTAGTGGATTAGAGAGAGCACAATTCATCTTGGTCAAACTCTACCATTTGCTTTCTGCATGGCCTTTTTTTTCTCTAACTGATTTTTTGCTTATCTCTCAGGGTGATCGTGGTGAAGAAGGTCCAAGTGGACCTGAAGGCCCCAAGGTAAGAATCTGTAACCTTTGACTGGTTTAAGCAGCTTAAATAATTAACCCGCTCCACAGGTCACCCATCACTTCTGGGTCAACCCATTACATAATCCCATACATCAGATTGACAGCCCCCTTTGAGTCTGATTCCTGTTGTTTTGTCAATCAATGTCTCGTATTCAAATTACGTACTTTATTTAATCAGGCCTCCAACAGAAGAGAGTGGGATTTCATCTTGAAGTGTCATTAGGTGACATCAGATACCCAAAACATGTAGTTTTGATTAAGCCAGTGGGACGGCACCTTTATTGGTTGGGTTTAAATACCACTGGAGCAGAGGATTTAGACAAAGTATCGGCTGATAACAGCATCTGTTTGGGGTTTTACTGTCTTCCCCTTCAGCAATGTGCTTAACTCTAAAGTCATTGAGTGCATTATCCCTGAGGTAATGAAAGATTGAATTAAGATAGTAGATGGGGTTTAGTGTAATGCCTCCTGTTCTTACAAAGGCTGGATTTATTTGAACCTAAATAAAGTAAAAACAGTAATAGTCTGCAATATATTTACAATTTAGAATAGTTGTTTTCTACTTTAAAATGTGATCTATTCCTGTGATAGCAAACAAAAGCCATTACTCCAGTCTTCAGTGTCACATGATCCTTTAGAAAAAATATATCATTATCAGCAATGCTATTTAGTGCTTCCTAATAGTTTATTTGAAACCGTGATACATTTTTTCAGGATTCTTAGATAAGAATTTATTTGAAATAGAAGTATTGTGTAACTTTACAAATGTCCGTACTGTCACTTTTGATTAATTTAATGCGCACTTGCTGAGTATGTAACCATATATTGTAGAGAAAACTATCTTTTGGTCTTTTTGTGAATACTTTCCTGCACACAATCAATCTTTCCACTCTTGTTTCCAGAATAGCACTGAACAGTGGGTCAAACAGCTTAGCCTATGTGAAGTTACAAGTGCATTGATTGACACTTTGTGAGGGATACATGTTGGCACAAAAACCACATATAATTTCTTCCATGTGAAATTGAATTTGCTTTGCTTTGAAACAACCTATATAGTTCACAATCTTGGATTTGTGTTTCGCTTTTACCCGTGGGAACTCTGGAACAACCTGCATATCGATTCCCATCCAATCTACCTTAGTGAACTTGAGCTTTCTTCCATTCGCCACACAGTTCATGTCCAACACACGCACCCAGTCAATATCTAAAGCTAGATTGATAGTAAGCATGTCAAGTGAGCTTATGGAAAATTCCTCTATTCTAGACTTAGACTGAAGAAGCTTTGTGTTTGTCGCGTTTATGTTCACTTTTTTAAGCTTAGCTCAGGTGAAATGTTTTGTGTCACTGCAGAGAAGCAGTTATTTTGCACAACTGCACCACCTTGTGGAGACTGGCAAGTGTTGCACTCTTAAAAACTCACAAAACCAAAACCAATTCTCCCCTGTGTGCTGAGGTTGTCTCCTGTCTGACCTCTTGTTTCTATTCAGAAAAGAGATGTCTTTACGTTCATCTCTGAGAGAGGCAAAGGGCCAAGTCAATGGCTTTACAATTAAAAGGTTCAAATCAATAGAGACATGTTATCCGGCACATTACCAACGCCATTAATCAACAGAAGACTTTGTCTTCCTCCCATGAGACTTTATTTCTGAAAAATTACAGTCATGGTTGTTTAGTTGTTTACGCAGCACAGTCAAACCATACAGCATTGAATAGCACAGAAAAATGTTTTGTTCAAATAATTCCTACAGGAGACTGAACTGGTTGTTTGATAAAAATGTATTGCAAATTAGTTGTTTTGGGCTGAGGAAAAGTTTATTTTGCATTTCATAGCATGATGATCACTTTATTTGCTTTGTTTCTCTTTAGGGGATTAAAGGAGACGAGGGACTAAAGGTAAGAAACTCATTTGGTTCTGCTTGCTAATGTTTGGAAGTTGAATGTTAAAATACTTTTAATCTATTCATGAGTTGATCAGCTCCATAAAATGTAAACACTGCGCCTTTAAGGTGCTATCAAAACATGAATCTGTTTGTTTGATCTTGACCAGCTCAACATGGCAACATTGACTCAACCAATAGCATGTGATTGGGGGAGGGGCTAACTGTTTGTTTAACCAATGGCAGACGAACTTGTAATTACGTGTGTGGTGACACATAATTTGCACACTTCACCTTTACATATTTTGTTGTTGTTGTTGTTCTGTGTATGCAAATCTTATATTTGCATTCAGTTTTGATTATCGTGTCATCTTTGTGGTTTATTAAAATGGAAACACTTCCATTTTACTACATCAGTTGACAGTGAGCAGTATTTTTACAACATGTATTAATCTTTGTTGATGTTGATTATAATACAGTCGCTGCTCTCCCTGCTCTTATCCATGCTATAGGCTGCATGAATGGGACCTTACCACCAATCCAACCTTTTTGCTGATTAATCATCGTTGACAATAATAGTCCTGGCAGAATTTTACAGCCTAAGCATACATTCAGGCCTATGTATAAAACAAATTTATAAGGAAAAAGAAACTGTAAATAATAAATCGGCTCAAGAGCTTATGGATTTCCATTTAAACCCATCACATGTAGTGGCAGAAGCAATGACATACATCTGAGTGAATGAGATGGAGGGAAGGGCATAAAAAATGGGATTTAGACACTGTCCTGTGTTGTGAAATCGCCTCCTATACCCTCGTTAACTATTCCCTACATTAGTCCTCTAATATAGTCCACTTGAAGGACTTAATGAAAACGAGTGAGTGAATTCAGACACTACACTCTTAGAAAAAAGGGTTCATTGGGATTCTATGAAGCATGGGGTTCTTTACTCAACTCCAAAGAACCTTTTATTCAAAAAAAGGTTGTATAATGACAAGAAAGAAACCCTTTTGACACAAAGGTTCTTTATAGGCTATTATTCATTCATATATGACATTATTCAGCAAAATTTTGTAGTTGAAATTAAATGATTGTTTATTAAACTATTGTAGTAACTTAATATCACATTTTAATCATGCTGATTTTTGGAGGAGACAAACTGAAATGGCACTCTTTGTGTGATATTGATTGACTACATAAAATGATAAAAATATAAATTTTCCAAAAACCCATATCTTGAATTTTGTGATCATTCACATGCATTCATAAATGCATTTTAGGATCTTGATGTTTGTCAATAATATGAAATATTTAATCCGTAAAGGACAAAACAAATGATAATGAATGAACCCAAAAGGTTCCATATAGAACCTTTTTCCTGGTTACAAAGAACCCTAAACGGCTCTTATTATTGAACCCTTAAAAAGGTTCTGTATAGAACCCTTAAGGGGTTTCAAATACGTAGTGCTGATAGAACATTTTAAGGTTCTATATAGAACCTTTTCTTCTAAGAGTGTATGTCCGCCGGAAGGGCTACCGCTTTTGCATGGTTTGTGCTTGTTGTTTAATAATAGTAACTTAGAACTCCATCTTGAACTCCATCATGGAAACTAGCATGTATAAACCTTATTTAAACAATTGAATAATCAATTAAAAAGACATTTACGTATACCTGTATGATATTACGCTATAGCCACATTGGACCAGCGTTTTGGAAAATGGATGGATGGAAGATTGGCGAAATGCAGGAATTCATTAGTTGATTGCGCTATGGGTATTCTCTAGCTGTTGAGCTTACATCGGTTGTACACGCGCTATTGCAGTGCACTGTGGGATTGAATGAGTGCGCTCGATAACGTCCACTGTGGTTTCGGACACCACTACAAATGGCTGTCCCGTTTAAATAGTGCCCTTATATAAGGGTATGGGGACGATTTCAGACACAGACGCATACTGTAGTTTTCAAATGCCTGAAGGACTTGCTTAGCTGGATCGGGTGAATTTAATTAAGGTTGAAGCTAAACTTGCCCTCCATAAACTGAGTTTGACACCCCCGGCTAAAGCATCTTGAAGGAGCAGTAAAGAGAATAGAGAGTAAATCTAAACATCTAAAGATTTATGTTTGTATAACTGTATCACATGTCTGAGGCATTTGCTCCTACTGAAGACGTGCATCTGTTGGAGTGATTACACTGTTTCTCACTGGGGAGGTTTTGGCCTGTAAAGAGGAGTGGGACGCACGTAAAGTTTACACCTGCTGATACACAAATAGTCCCTACAGGATTCAGCTATCCAGACTGTCTAACTGCTTAATGCTGAATGTTGTCCTATAAAGCCAGCAGTGATAGACAGCCACGCTGAAATCGTCTGAAGATGGATGAGTTGGAAGATGGATGGATTTAATAGAAAAATATCAAAATAAAAAATTGTCATTTGAAAATAAACAAAATTTGTGTAAATTCGGCCCATTTTGATCTGGACCTATTCTGAATGCAAAGAACATTTTTACAGCTGCTTAGAAACTTTGGTTTCATTTCACGCTATTTTCAAGCTTTTTTAAAATGTGTTTTTCAATGATAGCTGGTGAACTCGCCAATTATAGACAAGCTGGCTGATGATTAGTTTTCATGTCCTTATTGTTGATGTGCATTTCATTGGCGAGGAGTATAACTTAATATGGTGATGCTTTACAATAAGGTTCGTTAGTTAGCTACCTTTGTTAACATGAACTAAGAATGAACAATACTACAGAATTTATGAATCTTACTTTATTATTAACTTCAAACATTTGCTAATACGTTATTAAAATCAAAGGTTGTATTTGTTAACATTATGTAGTGCACTGTGAGCTAAGATGAACAAATAATGAACAGCTATTTTTTTTAAATAACATTAAAAAAGATTAATAAATACTGTAACAAATGTTTTGCTTATTGTAAGTTCATGTTAGTTAACACAATTTAACTACAATACTAATACTTTAATACTAATGTAAAAATAATGAACTTTATTGTAAAATGTCACCCTTAATATTTTAAAGGACATTAAATAATAGTTAACAGCAATTATTGGATTTTTGCAACAAGTAGAATTAAACATCAGCAAAATTCAAAGCTAAGCTTCTTAAAGGTGCAGTAAGTGATTTCTGAGAAACGCCGTTGAAAGTGGAATTGGACCGAGCACCACAACATAAAATCCCTTTCTGTCTAGCAAATAGCTTATCGTGGTTTCTGTCCAGCCCAGTCTCATCCCAAGGCGTCATATGCTGACGCTTTTGACATTTCGTCTACATCCAACGCACATGGCACCCTTTAGCGTCAATATGAGTCGCAGATATTTATGGGCCAGAAGGCGCCTCCTAGTGGTCTAACCCTAACCCTACCCCAGACCTAAACCTATCCATAACCGAACAAAGCTCTGTGCGTGTTGTATTGACGCTAAAGGGTGCCATGTGTGTTGGATTTAGACGAAATCGATTTAGACAAAAGCGCCACTATATGACGTCCCTAGGATGAGAATGCGTTGCTCTGTCTGTGACAGAAAAAACCTACCTATTTTTTTTTTTTTACAAATATACTGTATGTCCCACCCCAAACTTTCTGTTTCCTTTTGAAAATACAATAGGCTCTATGCACAACTTACTTCCGCATTCTGTTTGAACAGGTCTCATCGCTTCCGGTCCAGGTCTTTTGCATGTGCTTCATGAAATTTTTTGCGGTTTTACTCAAGATAACTTAAAAGGAGCGAGCAAAGATTAGCATAACCAATGTCCCTCACATATGCAGATTGATATTTAAACGTTTTATATTTTTTCTACTTCACAGTAACGTTTAGATATTTAAATGGAATAAAACGCCAATAACAAAGTGAACTAGGTAGGTTAGCCGATTACCTTAAAAATCCATAGATATCGTAGTCAGTTCTTAAACACTTTCTATGACAAGCGGATGCGATGAGACCTGTTTTTCGGTTTGGTCACGTGACGCTCCGCATAAAGCCTATACAAGAAAGAAAACTGTGCTTTCTAAACAATTTCATGGGGTCTGTTTACTAAACCCAGTGTTCAGGTGAGAGAGCAAGCTGAGGCTTGAGTCCATTAGCCAGACATCTTATGTGAACTCTCTGTCCCACCAAACTCTTTTACAAGCCTGAGTTTGATAAAATTTTCATTTCCTCTGCACATCCTCTCCTCCCCCCAACGTCTGTCTCAGGACCACCCTAGAGCCCTATAGTCGTCCTGATGCTCACACGATCAGAGGCTTACTTTAGATTAGCATCCTTGTTGATTTATCATTTCTGGCTTCTTTATTTGGATTGTGCCAGTAGAAAACACTTTCTCGTCTCATGGTTTTGTTTGGGATTGCACAATCCCATGTCTGCATATGTTCTCCAGTTGGCTTCTAGCAGTTTGTGTGTATTTGTGCTGTACAGTTTGTTTTGATCTGCTGAAGATGTTCCCATCTGTGCATTTGTGTAGGGCGAACAAGGGATGGATGGGCAAACAGGAGAGAAGGTACTCTGAGCCTGAGAAATGTAGTTTGTAGTGCGTTTAACTTTTGGTGTGTGTATGAAACAAAAATCTAACTATCATGATGTTCGCATGGCAATGCATGATCAGCAATGTTCTCAAACCTCTTGGATATAGACTTGCAATAGTAGGGCTGTCAAACGATTAATCGCGATTAATCGCATCCAAAATAAAAGTTTGTGTTTACATAATATATGTGGGTACACTGTGTATAATTATTTTGTATATATAAATACACACACATGCATGTATATTTAAGAAAAAAACATTATTTATATATAAAATATTTATTTTTATATATAATATAAATTATATATAAATCCATATACAGTATATATATAATAATTTAAATTAATTTATTTCTTAAATATATTCAAGCATGTGTGTGTCTATATATATATATATATATATATATAAAATAATAATACACAGTGCACCCACATATATTATGTAAACACAAACTTTTATTTTAGATGCGATTAATCGTGATTAATCATTTGACAGCCCTAGATATAAGAGACTTGAGATTGAGACCTAAAGTGGACAGGAAGTTTTTAGTGAACAACGTCTTAAATTCTGGTCTGTTCGTTCATTCATTTTCGGGTCTCTTCTAAATGTATATTCTTATAACTCATCCACCTTCATTGACGTGTGCACCGCTGGTAGACACCAGCTTATGTTACTAAAGTGAGGACTCACAAGGGCCGAGGGCAGGACATATGCTTTGCAACTGAAACCAGGATGCGCACAAAGACATATGACTCAGTACCGGAGTCATGCTGGGAGACCAGAGGGATTGCACGCTAAGAGAAAAACAGGCCGCTAGCTCAAGACATTCCCTCCTTCCTTCATCTGATCACCTGTGCATCTGATTTACAGGCTTCTAAACCTGCTGTTTGTGGAGAGTCCCCTGTTACACACAGCTTGATGGACTTAGCACACTTATTTTTGCTACCTGCCGTTGTCCTTGCCAAACACATGCTGCCGTACTCTTCGATTGTTAGGTCTGTTGTCATGACAGTGCTTTGTGTTTCTGTATTTGAGTGGTCTGTTTAAGTCTGCATCTTTTCATCATCAGACTCAGAAGATGTGCCAGCTGAGGAACTGACAGATGAATAAGCACATCTGCAGCAGTGCTATATTTAGTATTTTTTTTTATAGATTTATATACATATACATCTTGATCAGCGCCTCTAATTGAATGCAGAAAGAGTTTTTTGCGTGAGTTTGGGATATGATTGAGGTTGCAGGCGTGGGACCGGGCTATTGCTCGTTTGAATATATCATTGAGGGGTTTACATGTAGTTGAATATCCTTTGACTGTGCTCCTTAACACAACTCTGTGTGTAACAAATTAAGGCGGAATCAAAAATGAACGCTTGTTTTATTGGACGTATTGATATTCTTTAAAATACTTTGAAATAACATGACAGGTTATCTTTCAAAATCCTTATCCTTTTTTTTTTAAAGAAGCATTTATAATACAGTATAAGCGGTAATATTGTGAAATATTACTACAATTTAAAGTAACTGATTTCTATTTTAATATGAAGCTTAATTCTCAGCATCATTATTCCAGTCTTCAGTGTCACATGATCCTTCAGAAATCGTTCTAAAATGCTGATTTGGTGCTCAAAAAAAATGTATTTATTAGCATGATATTTTTTTGGAAGTTGTGACTTTTTTTTTTTTTGATTCTTTAATGAGCAAAAAAGTTCAAAAGAACATTTATTTGAAATAGAAATTTTTAGTAACATTATACACTTTTGATCAATTGAATGTGTCCTTGCTTCATAAACGTATAAAACAATTTAAGAACTTTTGAACCTAATTATGTTAATAGTGTACATAAATATAGTACTATGGTAATAATCAAAGTTTTGGACAAACCTATCTACCAAAAACTTTAAACAAAACTTTCTTGTAACTGTATTTTAACTTAATCTTTGTCTAGATTCCAGCTTATGTTCATTGACTACATGAGGTGCATCCTGGGATACTTTGCAAACTGTATCGAAGTAGTTACATACATTGGTCAGTCCCACCAGGATTTCACGATTTTTTTGTGTGATTTTTGCGATCAAAATGACTGATTTTGTGGTGGTAATTTCCAAAAATTTGTGAAAAAATTTGCGATTTATATATAACATTTACCATAATAGTATTCAGTCCTTCCAGAAAAACGCTGAGTTTTTTTGTGATTGTTGTGGGCAAAAATTGATTGATTACGCGGCCCGTTTACTTTAAAAATGCGATGGAATATGCGGGATATTTATGCAATTTTATGCGATGAAATTGCAGGAATTTGCAAAAATTGAGGGAACTTGCAAAAATTGTGGTTTGATGTAAAAGAGAAAAAAAGTGATTCCCCCAACATCCTGTTCTCACTAGGCTAATGTAAGAGTCATTTCTTATTACTTCCTTTGATAAGCAAGCATACTACATCATAGAAAGTGCTGGGAATATTTAATTTCTCATCTTGTTTTATTTCAGATTGTAACGAGTGTAAATAAGGTGTGGCCCCTTTAAGAGCTGCGCGCTCCCTGTTGAACTCTCTGCAGTGTTATATGTGCGCCTCGAACACCCCATGTCATGTGTGCGGGTAATTTCTGTTTGATGCTACTTCTTTTATATTATGTTGTTTATTAAGTAACGATGTGACGGTAGAACGTGTGACAGACAGTTATACGAGTTCGATTTGTGAGATGTCAGTCGCCTCCGTGAGTCCGTCTGGCGTCGCGTAATTGCGTCACTTCATAACGTTCCCATGGAAACAGGGGGAAATGGCTGCTCTTGTGTGAAGCAAACGCAGCATTTTCCAACTTTCTGCTAAGATACATGTTACTTTGTTTGCAACGAAAATGCGAGGATTATGAAATTATGCAAACCCCGCATATTTTGCACGGAAATCGGCAATTTATGCGGCGAAAGTGCGGCGTATTTGAAAAAATGCGGCCCCCGCATAAATATGCGGACCTTGGCTGATTTTGCATTGAATTCAGCGATCGCATAATCGCGTTTTTCTGGAGGGACTGATTGGTACAAATTATGTTTGTCTAGATTCAAGCATTTTAGCATAATAATGAGAAACAGATTAAAACCAGTGTGTTCAAACTTTGAACTAGTATTATATTATCAACGTATACCATCACTTTACTATGGTACCGACACAGCTCCTTTTTGTTGGGGAAACTGCTGTCTTCCATCAAAAACATCTGTCATTCTCATTAATAGGCAGTACTAGGTTTTGTGTCGTGAAAGTGGAAATTTATGAGATGAAAAGGAGATAAGCAAACGCTTAATTTACTCCTTTTACTCCTGCAGCCAACAGTGGGTGAGCCTCATCTGTATTAAGTGAGGCTGCTAAAGACTGTCTGCATATCCCTCCAACTGGAAGAAATGGAACACGCATTCACAGAAACAATCAAACGTGCGCACACACACAGAGTAAAAGACAGATGTACACCCACGTAACGCGTGTTGTCCCTCTGCCATTAGACTCTTATGTCAAGTAGGAATAAGAGATGATGGCGTGACATGAATTTAATGAACCTCCATTGAAGTGAACCTCAAAGATCAAATGAGAGCCGCTTTGTTTCTTTCTCTTTGACATTGGCTCTCAAAACTTCTCAGTTACACGCTCCCCTCCAGACCAAGATTGCTAAAATAGAGAGCCCAGGGGCTATTAAAGCAATAAGTCAGAAGAAGCTATGCATTACAGTGATTTTACTGGATTTTTAGGCACTACATAAATTAAGTTGTTCTGAGCACTTTTTTATTGCTTTAAACATATTGTTCAAACAACAATTGTTTGGCAAAACAGACAGTCCCAAACTCAGGTCATTGACTGGCGTGAGTCTGGCCACACCCAATCAGAATGGAATGCTAGTGCCTCAAAAATCACACACTGTGTCTTTAAAAGTCAAAACTGAATTTTTAATATAGTTTTTCTCTTCAAACAAGCATCAGTTCATGATCCATGTCGAAATTTAAATTATTAGCTTTATTTTGGAAATTCCTTTCACCCGTCTTCCCTTTATACCTTGGGCCAAGCACGTAAACCAAGCTCTCCTATTTCTCCATTACTTATTATGAACTGTCCTGAAGGAATCAAGTTTGTCAGCAAAGATTGCAGCCACTTCTTCTCCTGCTGATGACTGTTCTCTTCACCTTCCCAGAGTGCCCCTCAACTCCAAAGGCTCCGTCCTCATCATTTTTAGCCTGAAGATTAGCACTCCCATAAATCACTTGCAGCCTGTGTCAGTCCACACACTAGCCTCTGCTCCTCACTCTAAAATAGAAGCAGACGGGGTAGAATGAGAGACATGACGATGGGCAGCAGGGCCTAATGGAATGGTGTGAGTTGATTACAAATGAAGAAGATCAAAGAGACTTCCTGTTTTCAGCACGGGTCCAAGAAGTTTCTCTTTCATGATTAAAGTGATCAACCATCACTACATCGTTCCATTCCCTAAACGGGACGGCTACATGCAGTCGGACTCTTTCATCTACAGTACTGGGAACATGCATAAGCTCTCATACGACACTCTGCCTTGTCCCAACCCAACCCAACCACCCTTTCTGGTCCCCGACTGGACGGTTTTTATGAAAGCAGCTGAGTATGACAAGCAGTCTTGTCTCAAGCCCAAAAGCACACCAGACCAGAGTGCCTTGGATCATTAATACCCTCTCAAAATGCACACGTGGCGTCTGTCTCTCTTGATAACCTGCAACCCTCTCCAAGGTCTGACCACTGCACCTGTCAAAGCGGGTTATGCCAAGCTAGGCTCTGCCATCTGCCCTCTGCTCAGACTCACTGGAGTCGTCATGCCATCTTTGACCTTTGCCCTCGACTGCCTGTTGTCTGACCGCCAGTCTTCCAAAGTCATGCGTTGAGGCTTTCTGAACATGTTGTAAAATGCTTCCCTTGTGGCACTACTTGTGTAATGATTGAGGACTGACTAATCTACCTGTTTGTTTGTGTGTTTGTGTGTTTGATAAACCTACTTGATGAATCTATCTTAGTTTCCATACTGGTCAAAGCCGGTTTATGATGATTAGGTGTGTTTTGTCTAGCTGATTGACCAGTGCAGTGTTGCTGGTTTACTGCACCTGTCAATACTTCCATTTTTCTAATGTTTCTCCTGTTTTTAGCCCTATCTCCCGGGAAACTCCCGTAATTTGCATGGCCCAAACTCCTATTTGAATAATCGGACCAAATGTTTTTCTAATGTTGACCGGTTAGATCTTGTTTTATTCACACAATACACACACCATATACAATTTTAAACCCATTTGTCATCTCAACATGGCAACCTTTACCCCAGTTGCAAAGTCGCGGAAAGCTCTACCCGAAAGCGAGCAAACCCCCCTTCGCACCGAACGGTCCCCTCCAAAGCTAAGGTTTACTTTGTTGGGAATAGTTTGCTTTTAAATGCAACACATTACTATGTTGCTTTAATTATTATAGAAAGCAATTGTATTAATTTGCTACTTTTTGCTGGAAAATGGTGTGTTAATATTGCCTTACTTTTTCTCACTGTCAGCTGGGTGAAAATCTCTTTCCTCCAGTGGACGTTCTTGGCTTACAGTCATCTTTTACATTAGAAATACATTGGGGATGTACTGTATATTTTATGTTGGAAATACTGAATTCCACTGAAACAGCATTTTTACATTTTGAGAACATAAATCTCAGGTTTTTGGTGTAAATTTAACAAGTTACGGCACGGTCACATTTACTCTTGTTCACTGTTGAAATGGTCATTTCAGTCGAAATCAGGTATTTCGCTTGAGGACGAAAGATTTCCCAACACAGATTTCACATCTGGTTCAATTTGGTCGCAAGCTTTGACCAACAGAAACCTGCTTGGTTTGAACGTGACTTCTGTGTGAGCTGTGCTTCGTGCGTCGCTAGATTCACTACACTGTTGACAATTGACCAAAACATTACTCACTTAATGTTAGGGTTGGGTATCGTTTGAACTTGAACGATTCTGATTCCGATTCCTTGTTTCGATTCCGGTTCCTAACGATTCTCGATTCCGATTCTTTTAAGAGGCAGGGTCAAAAAAGTTTAGCTAACCTTGCTAACCAACGGCCTTTCTGAAGGAAATACTCCTTCTGTCACAAATACTCCTTTTGTCACAAATTTTGCATTTTGCCGAGATTTCTTTATTTTTAGAAAAGTGAAGCCACACTTTGGATCGCCGACGTAAGCTACTCATGTTCGGCTCGCGTGGTTATGCCAACACTTCCGGTAGACGCTTCTTCGTTGGTGTTGTTCAGCGGTTTCATCTTCCGCTCGGCGGACTGTGAATATCGAAACTAGGAATCGAAATTTTAACTTTTGAACGATTCCGGGAAAAACTAAAAGTTAGTCTCGGTTCCAATCGATACTCGATTCTCGATACCCAACCCTACTTAATTTGTCTATTTGACATCATACTAGTCCCAACACTGCCAGCACACAGGGCACAACTTGCAATACAGTGGTGAACAGATGTGCTGGGCAATTCTGGTTTGTCATCTTGTCTAATAATCTGCTGAAGCAAAAGTCTTTCGGCTGTGTTTTGCTTGTGTTATGCAATCTTTGGTTTTGACTTGAGAATGTGTGACTGCTTAAGTATTGAAAAGAGTAATTGTTTTGCAGGGTGAGCTAGGGATGCCTGGAATGCCTGGGAAACAAGGAGTGAAGGTAGCTCACTTCTACTGCAGCCTATATCTGACCCCATACCCTTTTACCCATGATCCCCAGCCTTTTATTAAGAACCATCCTTTTTTCCCAGAACCTTGCATGCGCTTTCAGAAGCATTCCATTGCTAAAATGCTCCTTTGAGAGCTCAATCTGTTATGATTTTATGTGAAATGCTTTCACACCAAAGGCTATTAATAGCTCATTATTACACAGCTCTGTGGAATACTAGATTCTGATTAGTCAATCGCAATCCAGCGGTATGTTATTCCCAGATAACGTCAGTAGTGCTATAAACTTGTTAGGAATGTTTTTTATTCATAGAAGTTTTGCATTTTAGTGAGTAAAATATTAAAACTCAGTCGAATCAATATTTTGTGTAGAGTTATTAAATTATGCCATCCAGTATCGTGAACTCGCTCTCTTGTTTCATACAAACGCAGCTTATGCCATTTTGTGAATATTGTTTTGTACACTGTTGGATTATAAAATACAAACAGGTACAATTTTAATCTGAAATCAGTATCTCTTATCTCCGTAATTATTTATGTGTCGAAATCCTGTGTAATAAGTGGTATGACTATTTACCGTATCTCTTAAATGTCCGTCTAGTTTGAACTTGCCGCACAAGCTACAAAGCTCTCTTCGCGGAAGCTTTGCGTTTAAAGACCTTTTAAAGTATTTCAATTCAGATCAATATTTCGTGTCTAATTATTTACCTATATACGTCCAGCCGGCTGTTATCTCAGAATAAACCCCTTCAGGCTGATGCAAGACGGCTTCGCGTCGCGATCTTCTTTACTCTGTCGGGGGTTTATTCTGAGATAACAAGCGACTGGATGTACAGTACATTATCCCTTACTTATACTAGCAAGGCACATAAAACCGTCTCAACTTCTGACACTGTAAAGTGGCGTCTGAGACTTGAGGAGGGAGATGGCAGGAGAAAGACTGATGGTGCCACAAGCATCAGATCCCTCGGTAACCCTCGACCCCAGTGGGTTGAGTGTCCTCATGCAACCACAGCTGTGTCCGTAAATCACTGCCTTCATGTCTGCTCATTAGTCTGAGATAACAGACATGAATTAAATATCTGTCATGTGCTCTTTACTATTAATAACAAACCAATTGTAGGGGGGTGGCTCATTGCGGCACTGCTAGTGATCAGCTATGCGTGCCTGGAGAGCACAAACTACGACATACAAATCTAAATATTGATTCCAGCATGTGCTTTCTAATTGCTTCAGTAGAGATTATGGCATCTGATAGAGATAGACCGTTGGGGGTTTACGATAGATGTAAACAGTGTTTGGCTAAATAATTACAGAAAATAATCTTCAGTTGAATTAAGAATGGCTTTTTCAGGCAAAATATATGATGTTGATTTTCAGAGGTCAGCATTTGAGGATGTGTTTAGGTTTTTTCTCACTGTTTTCCTTTTCTTTCTTTCTCTGATTTTTTTTTTATGCTGACATCTTGCACTCTTAAGGGAGAGCCTGGTTTCCCAGGCGTCCCTGGACGAAAGGTAAAGGCCTGGTTTGGCGTGGCTGTATCTGTAACACATTTGTTGAGCATATGAAATTCCTAAAGAAATGTTTCTGTCACTATGAAGGGTCAGGCTGGTATTTCTGGTATCCCTGGAAAACGGGGCTACAAGGTACACTTGAATGTGTGCTGTGGTTATGTCTTGCACAAGTGCTTGTTCTGACAATATTGAGGGTGAATTTTACTCATCCTTTTGTAGTTTTAACCCTGAATGACTGTTTTTTTCCCCCCATGGAACACAATGATAATTTTTTTTTAAAGATTTTTGGCCATTTTTTTTAGTTTAATGATATCGTTAAGCTTCAAAATGACAAAATAAAGCATCATAAAAGTGACTGTAAAAAATATTTTCAAGATTTGTTATCACAACATATTTTCTTTTGTCAAATTAACTTTATAATAATTTATTTAGTTGAGATAACTTATTATTTTGAGTTTCTGATGGTTAAATTAATCTCCTTCATTGTATTAACTCACTTTTTCCAGTTCAATCAACTTAAAAATTTTAAGGCAACCCAGGCTACTTACTTTTTTAAGTTAAACCAACAAATTAAGTTGATTTGACAAAAGAAAAAAATGTTGTGATTACTATAGTAATCACAACATTTTTTTCTTTTGTCAAATCAACTTAATTTATTTAGTTGAGATAACATATAATTTTGAGTTTCTGATGGTTAAATTAATCTCCTTCATTGTATTAGCTCACTTTTTCCAGTTCAATGAACTTAAATTTTTAAGGCAACCAGGTTACTTACTTTTTTAAGTTAAACCATCAATTTTTTTTTAGTGTACTTATGCACCTTATTCGTAAGTTTATTATTTATGTACTGTGATTAATTATTTTTAATTTTAAAAAAGTTTTATTTTTAATTTTGTTGTGTGCCATTTTATTATGTTTCATTTAGTGTTAAGGTATTCTCGTAAACAAAGTTTGTTTTTCATAATTTTTTACTTTATTTGATTTCAGCTTTATTTCAAATAGGGGAGGGGAGGCCTTTAATGCTATTTCTCAAAAAAAAAATCACCTTTTTTGTTCTACAGAAAAAAAGAAAGACATTTGGGTTTGCAATAAAAATAGGCTGAATAAAAATAGCAGCATTTTTTATGTATTCATGTGAGTGAATTGCATTGATTTGATTTTAATTATACATGCATGTCTGAAAGACGTGTGAAGTGGTAAGCTGAATGTCTGCACTCAATGGTGTTTGTACACCTGGATTTATTATTTGTGGTCAAACTAGACCATTTGTTTTCATTTACGCACATGCAAATACAAACAATCATCACATCTGCATGGTTTACAGTGTTGCAACAAATGGAAGACAGTTTGTTTTAACATTTTTAAAAGTTGTGATAAATTAATAAATGAGTGTTTTTGCTAAACAGAAGCCCTACGAGGTGGCCTCATATCCTGTAGTCCATATTTGTTGTGGTGTCTGAAATAATTTCATCTAATGTGACCACACCTTTACCCTCGCTCCCTGTGTTTAAGTTCCACATCTGTTGTGAATTAAATACGCTAACTCTAATGCTTCAAATGGGAACAAGATGCTTACACTAGAATCTTTATTACACCTTCATTAAATAGAGCTGAGCTTTGAATCTTTGAATCGGTCAAGTCATGGTTAACTCCTACATTTTTATTTATTGCCAGGGAGAAAAAGGCGATGCTAATGCTGCAGGAACTGGCATTAAAGGAGAACCAGGTACCCCAGGACAAGCTGGACCCAAGGTAGACAGCCTGCATTCTCCACCAACCAGCTCTAAGTAGCCTTATACCTGCTGCTAAATTGCTTTCTTGGTGTGGCATGACATGCCCAGTATCTTCTTACGGTTTTGTAAGAAGTGAATGTCAGGTTCATTATTGCATGTCTTTTCACAGGGTGAGAAGGGTGATCAAGGCATAAAGGTGAGCAATTGAAATATTATTACCCAAAATGAGGGCTTGCTCACTGCAACTCTAGTATCATTGTTATATTTTAAATGCGTCTTTGCAGAACAATAGCACAAAAAAATGCATTTTGCCTTGCAGGGTGAAACTGGCCTGGAAGGCCCATCTGGACCAAGGGTGAGTAGAGACCATGTGTAAGGTTTGTCACTGACACAGAGAATGATGCAATGATGTCACCTGGTTTGTTTATCGTGATTGACGTAATGCTATATATTAATTGATTGATTGTTCTCCCATCACTCAACAGGGACCACCAGGTCCGACCGGGGAGCCAGGAAAAACTTTAATCAACAACAATGAAAATGTATGTCTTTATTTTTTAATGCATACAAATATTACTTTATTTACAATTTGGTTAATTTGCATATTCTCTTCCCTGCCTTGATTTAAAAAGTTTCAATAGATTCATCTGCAATGTATGAAGGCACTAATTTAAATTTGTTTTTCAGGATATTCGCAATGTGCATTCAGTGGTAAGCATCAATGGCCTTTTTTGTATTGTTAGGAAACTGGATAACATTTTGTTTGAGTATCCGGACAAAAAAAAAAGTTGCAGTTTGGATTTAAATAAGCTAATGCTTAAGAGTTTATGATTGGATAATTATAAAAAAATTATGCACCTCTTGATGGAAATAAATGTTCCATCAATATTTATATTATAATATAACTTATATATTTTATAATATAACTAACCATCTATTTTTGTCATTTTAGGGCGCTCCTGGTCTACCTGGGCCTCCAGGGCTTCCTGGGACCCCCGGTTTGAAGGTAGCTGATCAACTTCTCTCATTCTTAACTCTTTAATCCTTGATTTATAACATTGGGAGTTATAAATGGGAGAATTTCAAACTAAATTCTGGTCACCGCCCTGTTCTTTTGCATTAAACATCACTTTTTATTCCCCTCAGGGTGACGTTGGACTTCCAGGTCCCCCTGGTCTTGATGGGGAAAAGGTAAATAATAATTAACATTTACTATACATGAAACCTATGTTAGCCACTAATCTGTGAGTAGTCCTTTGGTGAGCTCTTGGTCCTTTCTAATGCTGAGTGATTGCACCTGTTTACTTCTTAGGGTCCAAGAGGAAAGCCAGGAGAACAGGGACCCATCGGCCCTCCTGGACTAGAGGGACCACGGGGAGAAGGAGGAGTCATGGGCTTTCCTGGCCCAAAAGGAGACAAGGGAGACATGGGCCCCTCGGGATCACCTGTGAGTGACTGTAGTCTGTCTGACTACACCTGAGTTGTTAAAGGAGAACTCTGGTCAATTTTATGATTGAGCTCATTTTTATGTACATTTGGAGTGCTGTCAGTACAGACAAAAACGTACTCAAAAACTCACTCTTAATAACACCACTCACATGGCTGTGCACTTGTAATGACAAATCAAGGATGTTAAAAGGTTAATAGTTTAAGAACTTAACCCATTGAAGTCAACAGTGTGCGAATTTTAAAAAGAGGATAACATGGTGTAGGCAACACCGATTTTTGATGTTTTTGTCTGTACTGACAGCACTCCAAATGTACAAAAAAATGAGCTCAATGTTAAAATTGACCGGAGTTCTCCTTTAAATAATCACAAGCGTCTTGTGTCCTTTAACCCCTGCATGAAACAATATTCTGATATTACGCAACGTATCATAATATTTAAATTATGTGATATTTAACTTATTCAGTTTGCCATTACCAAATTAAGCCAATATTTGTTTTTTCTAGAAATTTAAATTAATAAAAATAATAAAAATAGCCAACTCAATAAAAACGAATTTTGGATATTTCCAGAAGACGATGTATTTGTATTAGTGTGTTTGGAATATTCTGAATTGGAAGAACATTGGAATATTCCAATAATTGTGGAGCATGTAAACGTCTTTTTGAAACTAAAGGCTTAACCAGAAAATGATTTGCATGTAAAATTGGTTTTGTTTCTTTGAGCAAGTGAGATCATTTTGAATTTTGAAAAAGTTTGTGGTGAGTGGGCAGCATTGCATCCTTAAAAGCCCACAATTTACTAATCATTTGTCCTATGTGTTGGATGTTATGAGTTAAAAGGTCTCTTGAGTGTGGCCTTTGTTTTTAAGGATGTCCCCCCCAACTTGAGTTTTCTGTTCATTTTTATTGCTATTTCACATTCTTTCCTCATTCTGTAGGGTTTAGATGGCCCTACTGGAGAAAAGGGGGTTTCAGGGCCCCCTGGCCATATTGGATTGCCAGGCCCAATGGTATGCAATGGTGCCCCTCACTTAAACATCATTGTTAAAAAGACAACACATGACTTTAGGGTGCAGTGTACCATATTTCATCATGCCAGTTTTAATTCTGTTGAATGAATGGTAAAGTTGAATATTCCTTCTCCTTTTGCTTTTTCATAACGTCTTCAGGGTCAGAAAGGTGAAACTGGAGAGAAAGGAGATAAAGCAGAGCTGGTATGTTCGGAAAAAAAATTTATCATTTGATTTGCACATTTTGGGGGTTTTAATGTTGTTTCAATATACATCAGCTCAGCCTGTGGGTTTTCAAAGTTAGGAAATATTTAGAATTAAATATCTTAATGGTGACTCTCCTATCTGTGTTGTTTAAGGTCTATGGACCTGCTGGGCCTCCAGGACCTGCAGGGCCAGTTGGGCCAATGGTGAGGGCATTGTCTACTCCATAAAAGCTTAAGATAACAGCACACATATTACAGATGGATATGTAGGCTTAAGAGCATCAGTGCATTTTATTTTTCATTTGATGGTGCATTTATAAAGAGGAACTCATTTTAAACAACTCAAAATGTTTGAGATTTCTCATATTTCTTTTTTTTTGTGCTTATCAGGGAACTCCAGGTTTGTCAGGACCAAAGGTAAGTATCGCAGCCCAAGTCACTTCTATATTCCAGTTTAACTAACTTAAAGGAATAGTTCACCCAAAAATAAAAATTGTGCAATCATTTACTCACCCTCAAGTTGTTTTAACCCTGTATGAGTTTCTTTCTTCTGCTGAACACAAAAGAAGATATTTAGAAGAATATGGGTAACCAAACAGTTAATGGGCCCCATTGACTTCCATAGTATGAAAAAAAATACTATGAAGGTCAATGGGGCCCAATATTTGGTTACCCATATTCTTCTAAATATCATTTTTTGTGTTCAGCAGAAGAAAGAAACAGATTTGTAGCAACTTGAGGGTGAGTAAATATTGACAGAATTTGTATTTTGTGTGAACTATCCCTTTAAAATGAAAAGTTATGTGGCTTGCCATAAGTTAAACAAGACATTAAATTTTGTATGTTCTTTCTGGGTCAGGGAGAGCCAGGAATAGGCTTGAGAGGAGAGAAGGGATCACCTGGACAGAAAGGAGATAAAGGAGACAGGGGCCATCTGGGACTCCCTGTAAGTACATTTCTCATTCTTATAATCTAGTGTTTAATACTTTGCATGCGTTGCAATAACAATGTAAGATAAAATAGCTGTCCGATTCATCAAATCAATCCTTATGATGGCTAAATTATGAATACGTCTTGTAAGTAATTAATTTGATAATATTCATACAATCTTGTCAGCTGAACCAAGATGTTTTTGTCTTTCCTGAGTGCAGCATTAGTGGAAAAGCATGTTCTGTCTAAGGTTTGTGCTTTAGAGCCATTAATGCAAATATCATAATGCTGCTATTTCATGTGTCTCTGTAACTAGACGTCATGGTTCATGGCTTGAATCAGTGTGGCAATCATATACACAAGTGCCATCATGTAATCATCTTGTCACATTGTTTTTTACACATTTGAATAGATTACCAACGAGTTCCTGATGGTTTCATATTACTGTAACTGACTGACATCCATGTTATTATTTCAAAATACTCTGTGGTTGTTTATAAAATGTTTCCTCTCTGTTCGTTCAATAGCATGCTATAGGTTGTTACTGTGAATTTCAGGGGTCTTTTCCTGACTTCTGGTGTATATCTGTGGTGTCAAAGTCATTGATAAACTTGTTCTAGTTGCATCATCAATGGCACAGTAACTCCTTTTAAACAAATAAGAGAAAGTGTTGAAAATGTCTAGAAAATATTTAGAATGCGCTGCAAAAAAAATGGTTCCTCAGTAAAAATAAAATAATTGATATTTGCATAAACCTCACAATGTTGATTCTTAAGAAAAGCAAAAACATGTTACCAATGTGGTAAGAAAATTAGAAATTAGAGCCTTTCCAAGTAAATTTTACGTAAAATGAAAATTGTGCACCGATTTTTACTGGAAAACAAGATCAAATTCAGCTTAAGAACATGAAAAAACAAAGATCCAAAGCTTTTTGTGTTGTGGAAGGGCTAATATTACCCAGTGTGCTCCTCTGTTCCATAACCTAGTGAGCTGCCTACCTACAGTAGCAACACGTTCTCATCCCAAGACGTCATCTAACTGACGCTTTTGACCATACGTCAACATCCGACGTTTTAGGGCACCCTTTAACGTCAGTTAGATGACGCTTTCCTAGGGCGTCATGTAACTGACACTTTACTTTTAGGTTTAGGTCTGGGGTAGGGTTAGGGTTAGATAGCGTCATCTAACTGATGTTAAAGTGTGTTGACGTACTGTATGGTCAAAAGCATCAGTTAGATGACGTCATGGGATGAGAACAGGCTGACAGTAGACATAATTTTAAGGCATCATACACTGTAAAAAAAATATTGAAGATATTTGTTTAATAAATATTGTTGATTTACTTAAAAAATGAAGTAACCTGGTTGCCTTAATTTTAAGTTCATTGAAATGGAAAAATTGAGTTAATACAATGAAGGAGATTGATTTAATCATCAGAAAATCAAAATATTATGTTATCTGAACCACATAATTTTTTTACAGTGACGCTCCTGCCACAAACACTTGGCTGTACCAATAACCTTAGATTTTTTTTGTTAGCGAAGCAAAATGATTGTTATAATTAAAATAACAATACAATTAAAATAATTTATAGATATAGTACTAAAATCGTCCTAAATACAAGACTACCAGAGTCCAAACAACAACTTTAACGGCACAGACAAAATATATCGTTGAAATCAATTTCAGAACAATATTTTCCAGCTGATGAACATGGACAGCCAATCCGAATCCATCCTGCTTTAAAGCGGCGCTTAGAACAAACAGAACCAAAACTTTGTCTGCCATCATTATAGATATCTTTATAGTTATTGTTCTTGCCTTTAGCTTTAAGTCAACTCTCCTGTGCTGAGATTGGAGCGCTATTTGTGTTGCTGCCTATGTATAGTGTTCCTATTCAGTCACTTATGAGGTTGCGTTTCAGTTTAACATGCCACCTTAGAAGGTAGACGGCGGCGCTGCTTACTAGGTTTTGGAATCGAACAACTATTTACAAGTATTATTTTTAGTTTGAGCATCTCTTCTGGAATTTAAAACCCACCTGTTGTTATTTTATCACCTTTCGTAGAGCTGAAAGGAATGATTGAAAACAGCATGCTGTTTCACCAGCAGTCACACTACTATAAGAAGCTAAAGTCACATTAAAAGGAGTTACTGCCCGTCTCTCACATGTCATCTTCAACATGTCACCCCTCCATCAAAACTAGTGTTGTTTTTATGTGGCACACAAGTCACTGCTTCACTCACCCACCCTCTCCTCCCCCCACACTTCTCCCCTCCCTCTCCACCACCTCCATCTCTCCTCTCGCTCTGTAACTCTTTACACATTGTCCAGGGGGCTCATGGTTTAGACGGCAGTCCTGGTCCAGTGGTGAGTGGCGCAAGACCCGTTCCCATCATCCACCCCTCTATTTCCATTCATCCCTCTCTCTTTTCCCCCTCCGCAGTCTGCCTGCTTCACTCTGTCTGTCTGTCTGCCTCTGCTTGAGCCGTTGCTTGCTTGTCTTTTCTGTGTTGTCTAATGGTCAAGGCCTTGTTTAGATCTCTATTGAGGTTGCATCGGCATGAGTATGACTTTGATTTGACTTTGTCCCTAAGCCTGTTTGGCTGTTGCCTCTTGCTGTTTCCAGAGGTACCGCGCTCAGTTTATTTCTCAACCTGTCAACACGCGAGTGAGTGAAGGGGAGCATGGCCAAACACTTATAAACATCTCGCTCGCTCGCTCTCTCTGAAACGCACTTTCTCTTTCTTTGAAAAGTACGTACTTAGCGCTGTACCAGTGAATTATCCCTTTGCATTTCATGCCGTCGCAGCCCTCTTTACCTTTATATATATATATGACACGAACATGCCTGAGCTCTGTTGACCTTTCGAAGGCTTAATTCCCTTCAAGCTTTGAGCTTTGTTTCATTTCAAGACAAGCTTTGACCTCGTAATGTCATACCAGGAGAGAGCATGATGGGATGCGGCTGCATGAACAGTGGTTACAGTATGGCGTACGACTGTACAAATGGCTGAGAAGCAAGACTCCCGAAAAAGCAAGATGTCTAACAGCCCTTCTCTTGAATCCTCTCCAAGTCATGAGAGGAAAATGGAAGATGGATTCGCTGTTATATTTACTTGTGTGTCTGTTTATTTCCCCTTAGATCAACAAACTTTGGAGTTTTTTTGGAGTTTGGACCTTAGATGACTGTTTTCAAACATACATGAAGAGTTTAAAACGGCTTTTATTCAACTCTGAAAAGTTTGTTGATCTATTGGTGCTCAACACTGACTAGTTTCTCTCCCTTTCTGACCTCGTCACCGAACACCATCCGCTCTGTTGAAGCTCACGCATGTCACTTTCTTTGTTCAAAGGGTCTGATTGGACCAGCAGGAGTGTCTGGGCCTGCAGGACCAAAAGGAGAAATGGTTAGTGCTCCCATCCTCATGACAATTGACCAATTGAAATATTTTTAAATTTACATCGCAATTAATTGCATTATTACTTATATTGTCTGATATTATCTTATTACTAATTATATATGTCACAATAAATGGACTTCATTGGGCACCAAACGGTTCAAGGTCCAAATGAGAGTTTCAGTGCAGCTTCAAAGGGCTTTAAATGACACCAGACGATGAATAAGGGTCCTATCAAGCGAAACAATCGGCCATTCCAAGAATAAATAAAAAAGTTTAAGTTTTATAAGCACAAATGCTCACCTAACTCTGTTCACATTTGTGACTCTTCTATTCGAACTCGTTTATCAAAATGAACAAATCTTTTTTCGAGTCATTTCGTTCATTTCGTTCGTTGAATGAACCAAATGACTTGAAAAAAGATTCATTCATTTTGATGAACGAGTTCGAATTGGAGAGTCTCGAACGCGCATCACAGAACAGAGCAAGGCGTGCATTTGTCTTATAAAACTTCAACCTTTTTTATTTATTTTTGAAATGAGCGATCGTTTTGCTAGATAAGACCCTACATCGTCCGGTGTCATTTAAAACGCTTTGAAGCTTCAATGAAACTGGCATTTGGACCTTGAACCATTTGGCACCCAATGAAGTCCATTATATGGAGAAAATCCTGTGATGTTTTCATCAAAAACAAAAAGTAAATTATCAGCAAAAATTTTTTTTAAAGTGAACTAATCTTTTAACGCACATGCAAAATAGTAATGCAACAGTTTTCTCTGCTAATTCCACATCCCCTTGTCAACCTATCAAAAACATTCACTGATTGTATAAGGTATAAAGTCCATTGTAATACAGTTCAGTATAATGTCTATGCATTTTTTACTTTACAGGGGGAAAAGGGCGATATGGGAGTAGCAGGACCAATTGGGCCTCAAGGCATCCCAGTAAGTGCTGTACCAGAGCACAATTTAACTTTTTAAATATTGTAACGTTTCCAAACCACATATAAGTGCATCCAAATGAAAAATAGACCATCATTAATGTCTCTCCCCCTTTCACTCAGGGTTTAGTAGGACCACCGGGATTAAAAGGAAATCGGGTAAGATTATAAATGCTTTCTTGATCGTAGTTTGTTTGCAGAATATGTTATTGTGACATTGAAGGACAATAACATGAGTCCACTTTCTTAAAATAAAGGGATGGACGATATTTCTAAACCAGCATGAATCTGCCAAACTTTTAAGCATTAGCTACTGTTCATTTATTCATTTTTCATTATCAGTTATTATGCAGTATTTAGCCGGGCTCAGACTCGGACTCACAATTCTGAATTAATAACGTGTAATTTCGTCCGAGTCTTGTGAGATAAAAAGTCACAATTACCTTTTTTTATTTTTTTTATTTGGCAGAAACAAGCCTCCATAGAGCCCGGCTTTATCGATTGTATTTGTTATGGAGGTTTTTTTAAAGACACAAGCAGAAGCATGCTGGGTATAAGAAATCAGAATGGCTACTGCTCACTGCTAGAAAATATGTGTATATTATATACAGTGGGGTCTAAAAGTCTGTGAAAATAAGAAATTAAAAGTTTAAATGAACAAAGCTGGAAATTAATGTCTTAGGACTTTGACACATTAAAAACGCAAACCGGTTAAGACAAATAATGAGGAAAAATGTATGTTTCTGCACTCTTTTTCAGTCATTATCGATCAGATGTCCAAATCATTCTGAATTAAGCATCAGATTTTACACACACACATAAATATGTATTCAATTGTAAGTCACATGGATATGTTAATAATTTAATTCAAGAAAAATATTTAGCAACACAACTGCTTTCAACAGTTCAAAATGCATGTTTCTTAAATAGCAAATCAGCATATTAAAATGATTTGTGAAGGATCACTTTATAAGTCTCATTGATATGTTAATAATTGAATTTGAATTAAATATACAGAAATGCTAAACAGTCTTTTGGATGCCGCTGTATATGTTAATTGTTCATGATAGAATTGTTTAAACACATATATTCTTACTCCAGAACTGTTTATTTGTCAGTCCTTTATATAAATCTATTTGCAATTTATATATTTTAATAATTTATTTGCAGTATATGTGAAACATATATTCCTGCATGATTAATGTAAACACTGAAGCAATGATATAAACTGCTAAATTTGAAATGTTCTAATAGTTATTATTATAAAAAGAAGTACATGTGAATTGACCATTGCTTTTCTGTGCTTTTCCTGTGCTTTCATCCTCCTAGACTGAATGCTCGTCTCCTATTAACACTAATTTCCTCAGTTAATGACTGAATGTCTCCCACCTTGAAAGTCAGGACATGTCAGTGTCTCCTCCCAACATCCTCCACTGGTTTTGATAAATCTGTCACTCAGCTCAGTGGAAGGTGCTGCGGAGGACCCTTGGACACGGTGCTGTTTTTACTCTTGTCCTTTCCTTGTCTTCCTCTCTTTTTTTCCACAGGTCTTCCTATCCCCTTTTCCTCCCCCCGCACCCTAGCCTGTGTCCGTGGCTCTTTTTGCCGAGTCGGGCCGGGTCGTCGTCCTCTCTGTCCCCCTCTCACTCCCTGGCCTCCTCCTACATCCTAATGTCGTAGCCTGGGTTAATACTCCTCCTCTTCCTCACCTCCTATACTTTTGTTCATATCCTTGACTTACCTCCCTACCAACCTGCATTGATTTTCTCCCAATTATGCTAATGCACAGAGTTCTTATTGTTCCACGAAAGCCACATCTGGATCTCTTTTCAAAAGGCACCTAACCAAGCAATGTGGGAAATGGCATTATGTCGGTCTAAAGCTCATTCTGACATCCGGACGAGAGTATTTAGGACTCCTGATGTGAGCCAAAAGTTCAGAAACAGTCTTAAGGAATCAGTATTCATCAAACAGGATTAGAAAATGAGCTCCATGTTGATTCATAATGTAATTTTTCCTTCCTCCATTAAGTGTTAGAATAACTATCATGATGAGGGCTGTTGGGAATGTTAGAGCTATTAAAGCATAGAAAGATCCCATTTATATAGCTTAAATGTAATAGTTTCCTCCAAAGAAACCTTAAACTTTGCGTGCAGCCTTGAAGATAAATCGTGAAACACTCTAAAAAGCAAAGCTGGTCTTAATTAGTGTAGAATAGGGATGTTGATTAAACCGTTTTAGTGCCTCGTCAGCTTTTGTACATTACAAAGCCTTTGTAATTTCGCTTCATTGTTCTATGTGGAATCAATCACAGATCGTCTACTTATTAGAGCCAACATTTGCTGCCAAGAATAAGGAATACAAATACATTCCCGTCAAAGGTTTAGATGTAGGGCAGTGTTGTAGTCGAGACCACCTCACTCGAGTCCGAGTCGACACCGAGACCAGAGAGAGTCGAGTCCGAGTCAAGACCGAGTCCATAGAGAGTCGAGTCCGAGTCGAGTCCGAGACCAGAGACGGTCGAGTCCGAGTCGAGACCTAGACCAGTGAGCGTTGATTACCTAATTTAGTTTTATTTACTTAGAGAAATCCTTTTTTTTTTTTTTTTTTTTTTTACTGAATTTACTTAGAGTTTAAAAAATATGATCAGTTTAGGGTAAAAAGGCCACATAGTAGGTGGTGTTAAAAGTAATTTTATTACAATTTGTCATGCGCAGTTGCGCACTAGAAAATCACCAATCACTGGGCGTGTCAATCAATTTAAATAAATATTTTATTAACATACATTAATAATCATGAAAAATATTTTGAATTGAACTCGAGTGGACTCGGGAATAATTCCGAGTCCTAAAAAAAAAAAATGTTCGAGTACGAGTCAATTCCGAGTCCAAATGGACACGAGTCCATGACAAGACCAAGACCATTAAAATATGGTCTCGAGACCGAGTCCGAGACGAGTCCGAGTCTCCAGTACTACAACACTGATGTAGGGATCAAAAATGATGTTCAGTCATCATCATAACCCACCTTTATTCAGCAAGGACACATTAAATTGATCAAAAGTACCAGTAAAGAAATTTATAATGTTACAAAAGATTTAATTTATTCATTTCATTTAAAAAATATTTAGCAACACAACTTCTTTCAACAGTTGATAACATTTTACATTTACATTTACATTTAGCAGATGCTTTCATCCAAAGCGACTTACAACTGAGGACTAAACCAAGCGAGTCATCGTGAAAACAACGCAAGTGATCAAAATACAAAGTTCTGACATTGCACGGGGTAGCATAAGCCAGATATGATAACAAATGTTTCTTGAGCAGCAAATCAGCATATTAAAATGATTTGTGAAGGATCATGTGACACTGAAGACTGGAGTAATGATGCTGAAAATTCAGCTTTTCATCACAGGATTGAATTGCATTTCAAAATAGAAAACTGTTAATAATATTTCACAGTATTACTGATTTTACTGTATTTTTGATCAAATTAATGTGCCATGGTGAGCATAAGAGACTTCTTTTAAAAACATTAAATCTCACTGACCCCAAACTTTGGGAGTGAATGGGAGTGTGTATATGTAATTGAGGCTTAAAAATGTGGCTCCAAAGGCATGACCTTTTCACAAATCAGTCGACATATGTAACCTTATTTATTCATTTTTAAATATTTAGTAAATTTGCATTCAGTATTTTTTTTTTACACAAAGTAAAACTTAGTAAAACTTAAAAAAAAAAAAATCCCACACTAACCACACTGGCTGACCTCCTTTCTCCTTAACCCCTCCACTTACTCTCCTTAAATGATCCCAAAACTCATTGTAGCTCAATTCAAAAGCACATCTACTTTTAGATTGTCTTTTAGTTATTCTTAGTGATGGTCCTTTTCTTACAAGTACTGCTAGTAGACTAGGAGGTCTGACTTTTTTTTTTTTCGAATGCACTGTTGTTTGCAGGGGGAGAGGGGCAAGAAAGGCAACAGGGGGGCCAAAGGGGATAAGGGAGACCAAGGAGCCCCAGGATTAGATGCCCCGTGTCCGTTGGTATGTCTTTCGTTCAACGTGCAGCACTAAGGCAAAAGGAGACTTCACGAAAGCCACGTCTCCTTATGTCTTTGTGCAATAAACACTAACAACTGCCCAGAAGAGTTCTGGTCTAAGTCTTAGAATCACAATACAAAGAGACTTAGTGCTCATATATTACATAAGAACCAATATAGATAGGGATTTGAATTAAAAACGACTAGGCACCAGAACTCTTAACGGGATTTTTGCTTTTCAGGATTAGGACTGACAGGAATTTGGTTCTGGGATGGAGCCACTATTCGATAAATTATTTGTGGAGTTTACATCCCTGTGGATGTGGTGAACAAAATCCTGTCAGTCTCAGGTTCAGTGTGCTCTGGACCAATCAGACGCTGGAACACAGCGGCCATTGTGGGGGCGTGGCTGGACGAAAGGATTTTTATTTGATTGGTTTCGTAAACAGGGTTTCCGAGGCTTTAAAGGGGAGAAAGGTGAACCGGGGCTGCCAGGCCTGGACGGGCTAGATGCCCCGTGCGCTGTGGTATGCTGCTGTCTATCCCTTTCCTTATTCCGCATGCTTCCTGCCGTACTGAAGCGAATGCTGCACCATAGCCCATTCAGAACAAATGAAGAATAGAACAGCATCTCAGCACTAATATCTTTAACTCTGTTAAATCTACAAACTTTCAAGGGGTCATTCAGAAATACATTTTTCCTTTATCTTATGACGAGAAGTCATTGTACTATAAAATGTGTTTTTATTGAAACCAAGCTCCCAAAACGATTCGTTTCAGATTATGTGTCTTGACTACTTCTACTTCTACATCTTCTACCGATTCGCACGTCATATATAGTACATCGGTTCCCAACAGGGGGTCGTGGCCCACAAGGGGGCCTCAGCGAGCTCTGTGGCGGGGTCGCGTCATATTTTGAAAGTTTTGAGCAATGAGCAAAAGTCATGAACTTTTTTTCTGTTCAAAATGTACAACATTTATAAAATGAGCGAGTTCATCATGAATAGGGTTGGGTATCGTTTGAATTTGAACGATTCTGATTCCGATTCCTTGTTTCGATTCCGGTTCCTAACGATTCTCGATTCCGATTCTTTTAAGAGGCAGGGTCAAAAAAGTTTAGCTAACCTTGCTAACCAACTGCCTTTCTGAAGGAAATACTCCTTCTGTAAAAATACTCCTTTTGTCACAAATTTTGCATTTTGCCGAGATTTCGTTATTTTTAGAAAAGTGAAGCCACACTTTGGATCGCCGACGTAAGGTACTCATGTTCGGCTCGCGTGGTTATGCCAACACTTCCGGTAGACGCTTCTTCGTTGGTGTTGTTCAGCGGTTTCTTCTTCCGCTCGGCGGACTGTGAATATCGAAACTAGGAATCGAAATTTTAACTTTTGAACGATTCCGGGAAAAACTAAAGGTTAGTCTCGGTTCCAATCGATACTCGATTCTCGATACCCAACCCTAATCATGAATCCATCAATCTGTGTTTTTGTCTTATCCTGAACCACTATGGTACACCTATAATAAGTGTTTACGTTGGGACTATTTTACACTGGTTCGGATAGCTAAGCCCAGTACCTGCGTGACTCGTCATAGACGTACACAGAGAGAAGTAGTTCCAGCTACAATGTTCTTCCGAAAGATGCATTGTTCTGTTAATAAACTCAAGTTTATTATCGCTTGCTATAGTGCCAAAAGCGTAAAAAATAAAGCCTCACAAATAACTTGCAAGTATTGAGACAGCAGTCATATTAATAGCCTATATTCTTTCTTTTTTTACCTACACGCCACTGTGAATATTTTTGGTTTTGCATTTCAAATAGGGCCGATATATAAGCTTCTCCTAGGCTTATATTTTTAAATTACAAAGGGCCTACTGATGTTTTTTTTTTTTTTTTTTTCAATATTATAGGCTATTATTTATGCATAAACATATCTGGTTATAGTAAACATACCGTTTGTTTGAAAACAACATATTTGGTCATCTTTGCTGCAAGCTTACAAGAGCGATAATATCATTAAAGCTGCAATACCTAAGATTAAGATGCCGCTAGAGGGCGCTACATTCAAAACAACAACAATGGCTTTGCTTGATGACGACGTGGAGGAACGCGGAATGATGGGAACTGTTGTTTTCAACTCCACCGTGGATAAATCAGTCAGACGGGAATCGAAAATTAGTTGTCATGGATGAGGTAAAGTTCGATTTCTATAAACGTTGCGTTTAATGACATGCTTGTTTTTCATTAAACTGAAATAACCGCAAGAAAAGTCAGGTTTAAAAGTAAATTAGTTACTGTACGAGTCACTAGACGAAGCTATGGTGGAGAGGCAGGTCTCTTGCAAGGAGTTGACGTGGCTGGTCCTCCTTTGTAACTTTATAAAAATAAAAAATCAATTTAATGTACATTTGACACATCTTTTCATGTCGTGTAAGTAACCACAGCTACAGTTTCACAAAATTAACGTTAAGGGGGTCGCACACCAGACGAGAAGCTCAGCGCCGCGTCGCGCCACATCTTTAAAATTCGAACACATTATTGTCTATAAGTGTATACATACCGGCGGCGCCATTCGGCGTCTGTCCACGGCGCCCAGCAATGCCGTTTGTTGCTTGATAGATGCTAACGCACAACTACAACTACCGCATTTGTCCAGGACTACACGTAGTACGAGCGGAAACCGAGGTAAGCGGATATGACGCGATTGACTGGCGACTCCCAGCTCACCCCTGCTCATACGCCCCGTTTCCTTGGTTAAAATCTCAATTTTCTCGCGATTTAAACATTGTTTGAAACATTTGGAATATTCTGAGTTATCATCATAACTAAATATATAACACTGGCCTTGTGATTTTGGGATATTTTAATGCAAAAATAGCTTATTACTTCTAAATTAGGATGTTTTTTTTGGTGAAAACATTGTAAGTGAACCTCAAAGAACATTATAAAATGTTTATGACCCCTTTATTAACCATTTTTTAAAATCCGATTCAGAAAAAAACTACATTTGTTATATTATTAAAATAATAAAAATCTAACCGTTTGTTTTAACCAATACGGTTTTTTTTTTGTGTGTGTGTGAATTTAACAGTTGCTTAATTTGATTTCTGTAAAATATACACATTGAGACAACTTGTAAAATAAAATGCTTGCTACCTTTTGCAGTTTTTCTTTGTTTAACATAAATGCATGCATTAATTTAAAAAAAAAAAATTTCTGTGTATCCAATATTCTAACACTAACCTGCATATTAACGATATAACACTTTACACCACGTCTGTTTTCATCCGGTAAAATGAAGCCCCCTGGATCACCACAAATATCTGCATAAAAGAAAGTGTTCAATAGAAATGCCTTGTTGCAAAAAGCAGGCATCATTCTTGACTGATCATTGTTTTCTTAGTAATTTACCCGATTGAATTGTTAAGAATGTAAACACTTTGGTGTGAAACATCCAGGTACATCATCTTTGTAGATAGCTATTATTATTATTATTATATATTTATTCTTATACTTGTAGTTTTGAGTGCTGCTTTGTGTTTAACGTTTGCGTGAATGAGTACAGGGTTGATTGATTGATTCATTGATTGATTGAGGGAAATGTATGTTTCAAAAGTGGCTGCTGAAATGGTTATGTATACTGTATGTGCACGGATACTGTTATGTTTCCTATCTCAATTCCTCACCTCTCCTCTTTGTTTTAGGGCGATGATGGTCTGCCAGTACCAGGGTGTTGGAATAAAGTGAGTTCTCTTGACTGATTATATTAACATTTTGCTTTTGAAATAATTGCGCCCATGCCATCCTTACAATGATATAACTCGTGCAATGAATTCATGATATGGAGGTATAGATTGTATGTCATCTACAATCTGTTTTTAATATATAATACAAATTGGTTTATCATTTTCAATCTTCAATATAGTACTTTATGAGCAGTTGTTTCGAATCTGATTTGAGCTTTATTAGCGATTACAATCTTTTCTTTCTAAACAACGTCTGATAGGAAACAATCTATGCCTCCATTTGCTTGAAAGATGTGTGCTTTGAAAATAACATGTGGTCTTTTGCCTCTTGTCTTGCAGTGATGTTAATTCCTGAATGCCATGTGTGATTGTAAATAGAATATTTATTTTTGTACTTTTTTTTTGCCATTGATCTGCTATAAGGATGGAAAATACAGCAAACCATAAAAATATTGGCAGGACTTTTGTACAGATGTTTATTTTTATTACTGGTAATGTTTTTTTTATTATGTAATGGACTTTATACTGTACCTATGCATTATGTCAAAAATGTTTTGATCAAGGAAGAAATATACTGTGGCAGCATATGCATGATATTTGTGCATTATGTTAACTGATACGTGCCTATTAACTTATTGTATCATGGTGTTTTAATGTGTTGTGTCGGACCACGCTGCACTGATTAGTGGGGCTGGAGTTACAGATTGGCCTTGTGTGTAAGAGGAAACCCTTTGCTCTGAGAATAACATGGACATGTTCACACCAAACCTAATGATCTTACACTGTAACTGCATATGTTTACTGACAATTAATATGACTCATTTCAAAGTCCATTCTACGTGGAGTATAATGATCAAGTCAGTAGTTTCAGTGCATAAATGATAAACGTTTGCACTGCATGACTTATTTAGTGAGCATTGCAAACTGTTTCGACTCTATATTCACCTGCCAAATATATTATTGCAAAAACTGAATTAGTCAACTGATTCATGTTAGGGAAAAAATGTAATCTTCATGCAGTGCTTTTCCTCCATTGGCTTTATGTAAATATGCCGGCATCTTCCCCTCTCAGCATTTTCTGCTTCTATTCTTATCTCTGACAATTTAATAAGAGAGAAATTCAATTTACATACAATTTAGTGTTTTCTTTTTTATTTATCTCATATATTGCTGCTCACTGTCAAGCACATCTTTGTGTTTGCTAATAAGCATCTACACTACTGTTCAAAACCTTGGGGTCAGTAAAATATATACACTGTATATATTAAAAAAAAATGCTTCTGCTCAGCAAGGATAAATACATTTTAGCAAACCTGACACTAAAAACCTATACATTGTTGCAAAAACAGTATATTTCAAATAAAACTATCAGCAGGATTTCTGAAGGGTCATGTGACCCTGAAGACTGGAGTAATGATGCTGAAAATTCAGCTTTGCATCACAGGAATAATTTTTTTTAAAAATATATCACAACAGAAAAGAGATGTTTTAAATTGTAAAAGTATTTTTACTGATTTTTTTTTTTTTCAAATTTATTTTTATTTTAAATTCAGTGTCTTTGAGCAGACGAAATAAAAACATTTAAAAAAAAATCTTACCGACCCTAAAATTTAAAACGGTAGTGTATGTCCCGTTTTACCTCAACTATCAAGTACAAATGAAGAATAAAAGTTAATATTATAAACCTGCAATTTACATTATAATATGTTGATTCCCAAGAAACATCAGGGTCTTAGAAAGAAAAAGGCCCTTAGCTAAAAATAGTTTTGTTTTCATCCAGTGTTGAAGTCATTGAATTGTGTAGGATTGCTGCTGCTTATATTGACAAGCTATCTGGGTTCCATTTTGCCTGTTAATATGGAGTTAAGCATGGTTTGTAATCATCAGTGTCTATAAACTCTTTATTCGTCTGTAATACCTCATACTAACATGTGCCTTAATGCTTTTACTCTGCCAAAGTAGTTTTGAGACATATCATCCATAATGTAAAAGAAGCTATGCTGTCAACGTGAGGAATATAAGACAATAAATGGCTGTAAGAAAGTTCAGCCAAAACGTTTCCTAACATGTCTTTTTGAACTGTGTGTGATGAAAAATTAACTCCTGCTGGATGTTCACATGCTGCAGGTGTGCTTGTATCTGAGTGAAGTGTGAAAACTGCATCAGTAGGTTATTCAGTTATTCTCAGTGTTGGGGAAAGTTACCTTTAAAAGTAATGCATTACAATATTGTGTTTCTCCTTGAAACGTAACTATTGTGTTATAGTTACTTTTTATGGGAAGTAATGTGTTGCGTTACATTTTATCATCTGGGATGGGCTTGCTTGTTTGTTTTTAATAACAAAAAAAAATTGTTTTCGGCAAACGTGAAGGCCTTTCACACCAAAAGTGAAATGAATAAGCCTCAGGCTGAGGGAAATGCACATTCACTCCTGTACAGTAGAGAGCGCCGCTCAAACAAACCTTTCAGATGTGCTGCCGTTCTACTGTAGACAAAAGCTGCCTCCAAAATCTCATGCGGTCTCAGTATGTACTACATTTGAATGTGTACTTCGCGACTGTTAAAAAAGTATGTTCTAAATGGAATGAATCTGGATGTACTACAATCGCCATGTTGTCATTATCATGTGACCTTCCAGCGTCTGTTACGTCGCCTCACCTCCAGTCATAAATCCTCTCCCGTGGCCTCATGGGATGGTAAAGTGTCCATCGTATACGCACTTCAGAATATCGCTGGAAGTACTGTAAGTTTGTACAAAACGCCTACAGTTTTTCGCACACTATACTAAGGGAAGTATTCGATTTTGGACACTGCCTATCTGTATCTGAAATCGCATACTCACTTGAGTGGGTACTTATTTTGAATAAGTAATTATTTCACGACAGCTAAAAGTGTTCATTCTATTGTATGAGTGTAATATGGACATACTAATTTTGCCATATTGTCATTATCATGTGACCTTCCAGGGTCAGTTACATCGCTTCACTGCCAATCGTAAATCCTCTCCAGTGACCTCATGGGATAGTAAACTGTCCATATGCACACTTCAGAATCTCGCCGGAAGTACTAGGCCATCCGGAGACTTTTTGCCTACTCATTTATGAGTATTATAAATTCGGACACACTACTTTTGTCACATACTGTTTTTTGGCCTACTATATAGTATAGGGAAATGTGTGATTTCGGATGCAGCCCAATACTCATTTTAGCAATAAAAAATAATAATAAACCGTTTATGTAAAGTCATTTTTGTTTATTTGTGCTGTTGAATTGGTTCATCGATGATCAGCAGCATGAGATTAAATACATAAAGTATTTTGTCTAATTTAACATAATTATTGCAAGTTTGCTTAATATTCTGTGTTCGCATTTCACTGTTTTTATTCATTTTGAAGACTACTGAATCTGTTTTTGTGAGATGAGTACCAAGTGCTTACATTTAGTCTAGTAAACTATATTAACCATCATGCACTTACTCCTGATTTCTCTCAACATGAGGACAGGAGAGCTCTCAGTCAATAAATGGAAACACAAAGTAACTTGCTTTTCCTATTGAAAAAGTAACCGATATCTTTTTACTTGGAAAAGGTAATCTGATAACGACATGACTTGCTTTTCTTGTAATGCATTACCCCCAACACTGGTTATTCTATATGCATGTTGTCTGAAGCGTTCTCCATCTCCAAGTCTGCATGGAGGAAAGTGTGTCAGTGCATTACAAATGTGTGTTTCTTTTATCAAAAGGGTCAGAATCCGTTCCAGCTAGCCAAGAAGTAATCCAGCGGTGAGATTCACGTGATTTCCTTTATAAGCGACACAAAAGCTTGAAGAGGTTTTGGACGATCTTTGAGTTTGGGCTGCTCTTTGGCGGCTGTGTAATCGTCCTGTAGTTCTGGAAGGCCCCAGAGGGCAGCAGATATAACAGACTAAAACTGACTGAACTACAGAAAAGACGATAATTCAGAAGTAGCCTGTCATTTCTCCAAGATTTACACTCTTTTCTTTCTCTTTTATATTATTCACTATGTGAAAGAAACATTTTAGCACATTTTGTTCCTTTTTCATGACAATGTTATGTCCAATTATTAATGTTTGTGAGCAGAGGATTCAGCGCAGCTCATTGAACATGCAGATGTGGTGTTATTGTGTTTCCAGACAAACCAAAGAAAGAAAAATCTTTGATGATTCCTTATTCAAACTATCACTGCCTTCTGTCGAGAGTTGTCGGTAGAATGTAACCTCACTCACACATTTACACTATGCGTTTTATTTAACATATGTACAGTATAACCTTGCAAAAGCGTAAATATCCAACGCACATGGCACCCTTTAACGTCTAATGAGACGCTTCGGTTAATGGTTAAGTTTAGGTATGGTGTGGGGTAAGGGTTAGACCACTAGGGGGCGCCATCTGCCCAAATATATCTGCGTCTCATTTCACGTTAAAGGGTGCCATGTGCGTTGGATATTTACGCTTTTGCAAAAGCGTCCGATATGGCGCTTTGGGATGAGAACGGGCTCGTATAACGGTTGCGCTTGTTGGCTACAGCACAGTGATCAACCTTTAAAAATGAGAATAAAATCACTTATAGCTAAAACCAAAAAGTGAACATGAAGGACTATCACTGTAGCTGAAATGCTGTGTACCAACTTTCACCATAAACCTCCTAAAAGCTATTCAGCAAAAACAGTATTTAAACTTTTTTAAAAGCTAGTTGCAACAAGGGCATTTGATTGTGTTGCAACATGCATGTACATTTTACTAGCTTGATCTGTATATTTTGCAAACTCTTTGAAATTAAAATAACTGAGGTCAGTTTGTTGGGGTACTTGTACAGAACGGCTGTAATTTAAAGAATGTACGAGGCAGCTAAAACAAAAAAATAATAATAATAACATAACCAGCAGTGACGTATTGGCCGTATAATTTTATTGTTGGTTCACAACATGTGTGACCTTCAGATAAACTATTTGTTTATGTGAAGTTTTATGGCTGCGAATGATTAGAGTAAACATCTTCATCTAGTTTTGGTTGTTCAGTAAATGCAAGTTATTATCAAATTCACAGATTATGCTGATATCACTGCAATCATAATGGGGGTTGTAAGGGAAAATGTCCTTACAATATTTATGACCTAGATTTAAAAGAAAAAAAATGAAAATAAGATGTGGAATTGTACCAGCAGCTATTTTTAAAGTAAATGCAAGCATTCCTTACATTATATTTTGACACCTGTTTCAGACAAAAAATGGTTGTATATAAACCCATTGTATAGTTTAATTAAATCTTCTATTCTGTCAAGTTTTAATTTAAGAAGATGTTAAACAGATAATAACACATATAACTAATTTAAGCCTAAAAAACACCTATTTTCTCATCAGTGTAGGTCATTGTTTTTGTGGTAGGCCTAACTATGAGAGGATAAGTCAATAAGGCCTAAGTGAGAAATAAAATACGTATTTTAAAATATGTCTATTTGTAATATTGTCATTGGATTATAAATGACAGAGGTCTACTTGTATTTGATTTTGAAGACATTGTGTGATATGTAAAAATGAACATTTCATAATGATACACTCAAAAATAAAGGTTCTTCAATGGGTTTTCACTGTATATTAGGTTCTTGAGTCGAGTGTTTCTCAACTTGTGTGTATCGCGGAGTGTGTAGTCAAAGAAACGACGACAACAAAAAACGTAATTCTAAATGTTTTTCTGATGCGAGACTTTTATTTTGAAAGACGTGGGTGAATATTACGGAATTAAAAGTCTCTCGCCTCATAAAAACGTGCTGAACTGTTCTAGACTTTAATGCTGTGCTCGATACGCTTATCAGGCTGTAAATTATGTAAATTATGGCATCAGCCAGTAAAGCCCTTCTAATTGTAACCTTTATTTTTAAGTGCCCACAGCTGTATGTTTAAAAACATGTATTTCTATGTGTTTTTTCCCTTAGTTATAATAGCCTATGATATTGGTTGCAAATAGTCCTACTAATCATTCTGTTCTGACATAAGATAATCTATAATGCTCAAAAGAAGAATAAATCAGATCTTATGCAACCTGTAGCCTATTAAAATTATAGCATTAGGTGCTTTTAGCTTTGGGGCATGCCATGTTATGAAGTGGTTTTCATATTATTGTCCACAAGGCTTCTTTTTCTCAGTATAATTTTGCACATGTGTGTGTGACTTTGTTTTTCCATGTCTTGAACAAGAATATAATGTTTGTGCTGTAAATCATGCATTTTTTATACATTATTTACCTGTTGACTAATGAATTGATCTCATGTTGTCCGACTTTGTACAGTGTACTCTTCAAATCATGTGTCTCTCCAATATAACTATCTTGACTAAATTCAAAATTGTGACAGCATTTTTTAAATGCTTTATAATCAGTTAATTTCCCATATTATATACCTTTAATGAGGAGTACACTTTCAAAACAGCTGTCAAGCCCACAGGAACATTAACCAAACTTTGTCAGTTGCAGTTTTGAATGCCAGTTCATTCTTGATGTCCACATCACACACTGCTCATATTTGAGCACTGCTGTCTTTGTTCACCTACCGCTCACAGATTTCTTTCTTTAGATCATTTACAAGTGTGTTTCATACCAAAATCAAATTATCTGACCGTTTGTGTGATATCTTTGATACTGTTGTTGTTGTTGTATGTAATTGAACATGGATAAGAGGGCATTTATTTCAGTGCTTTTACAGGAAGTGTACCACTTGCATGGTTATTATGCGCCTATTTGCATTTAAAGTGTCAATCTGACCATCATGTTACAGTCTGTTTGACTAAAGGTTGGTTATGTTTATCTTTTCCTTCCATTTCCCTTCTTTAAATTGTTTAAAATCATGCATTGAATGAATATGTAAAATGGTATTGTTGCTGTTTCAATATATGCTTTTGGAAACACCGTTATTATTATTTAAAGTTTTGTTAAGTTCTTTTTTTTTCCATAATGACTTTCTTTTTTTAACATAGAATATCTAGCTTTTTGTTTATTTTTCAAAAAGACATCAGAACTGTATTATCCATGCAGTGAAATAAAGGA